AATAAATTGTTTCATGTACGTGATTCTATTTACTTCTTTGCTTGTTAGTGTAGCTTGGGGGTACTGGGCTGTTGCCAGGGCAGCTTCTTGCAGCTTCGATTCCTGTTGACATCCAAAAGTGTGAGTGTGTGAGCTCACGCACACATACTGAAAAGCAGCTTCTGTGAGTGCAGAGGAGAAGAGTTTTAATTCTAATTTGCTGTCATAGATTTCACTGAAGCCTTGTATGCTGCAAGAGAGATCCACCGTATATTCCAAGTCTAAATCCTAGATCATTCAATTTTAGTCTCTATCATATAGACAGATTCTAAAATGAGCCATAACTTTCCATCTGGAAAGTTAGTGTGTTAACTGATTATACAAACTTCCAGCCACTGTAAATAGGATTCTGTTGCAAATTTAAGTCACAACTTTTTTCAGATTTCAGCAACCACTCAGGTAACAGAACTAAAACAATGAGCCTTAATCTTTGTATGTTCAGATACAAGATGGGCTTTGTACTTCTATTGTTTATTGTACTGAAAGACCTAGCCTATTCACTCAAAATGAAAGTCAAGACAATCATGAATTGTGATTTTTCCCAAGCAGCAATGCTAAGCCTGGTCCTAAGTAAACTATTGTATAGCTAATTATTTACATACATTGAATTTCAGTGTGAATGAGCCTATCACCGTGTCAATTTCTACATTACAAATCATCTCATGTTCTCAATCTCAATGCAACATTAACATTTTTAACCTGCAAATGGGAGACAATATTCACACCAATCAGGATAACTCACATCCTTATGTTCCAGAGCTTATGCTACAGAGCTTCATTTGAGGAGGATAATTAAACCAAATTTTTTGCTTTAGATTTTAAATATATTTTTAAGAAAAAAATATTTATTGCTATGAAAAATCTTGTGTGATCTATATCTGTTTTCAGAACATATTTCCAAGAGCTGGGAAGATTTGTTTTCTGGCATGCATCAAACATTTTTCCATTGGCCACAGCATTCTTGCACTAATTGAGTTTAGAAAACTCTTCAGCTGCTGCCTGGATGAATACAATCCGTGAAAAGCAAGCCTCAGAAATAATGGGATCCATTAGCTAATTACACTTTATCATCAAACATGCATCAGTTGCAAACTGTAATATGAGAACTATATTCGGCTATCCCAGACCTTTCAGATTATAAAATCTGCCATCAAAAAGGGATGCCAGTATCTCCTTTCCTGAAATACTTCATACTTCATAGTGAAGGAATCCACTAATTCTCAAAAGATACAAAGCTGTACAAGACCAACACTGCCTTCTGAAGAGATGATTTTGCTGTCTGAAGTAAAAACTTCAGAGAATTTGCTTTGTTTATCATGCATGAAATCCAAACAAATCTGTTCCCTAGTTAAAATTATCCACTCTGCTAAAAAGCCACACAAAATCCTACAAAGTACAATCAATTGCAAATTGGGACATTTTGGTAGAAGGCGTGGATATTTTGAAATGTGATTATGGACTATGTAGAAGAGTGTTTCTTTGTATTTCCCCCAAATGTTTTTTTACTTTCACGATAATTTTATATCCTATGACAATATATATAGAAGTAACTGATTGTATTTTGCCATAGCTCTTACCTTTCTATTAATGTTTTACATAATACATGAGGAAGATAATCTCACTATTTCTCCCATTATTTTTCCACTGAGAGCATTTTCTCTCCTTTTTAAAGAGGAGGAAATTTAGAGGCACATTACAGCTGGCCTTGTTAACATATTGACCTTGACTCTTTGTTGCCTTGCACTCTTGGCAGCTACATAATTCCGTGCTAAGCGGAAGCTAAAATGCCGTCCTGTGAATGCTTACCTTCTGAACTTACATGTGAATTTCATTTCAAACAGCTCAATATCTGAGCAGAGAACCAACATCACGATTTCACATGGAAGTCCAGTCACTTGCTGTTTTAAATTCCAAACTACATAAAATCCCAGAAAAAACAAACCCCACGCAAGCACGTAAGTCACAAAAATCTTCAATATATTTGACTCCTGTGTTGCCAAATAAAGTGTGTGCATTCAAGTAACAAATGTGTTCAAATTTAAAATTCATGGGTTGCACTGCATCAGCCTGACAGTGTTGGTGGGCAGTGGACTGACACAGGTTTTGGACTGCAGTGTGGTACTATGCTCCACGCTGGCAAATTTCCAAAGAAAGATTCATTGCTGCTCTTCTCAGCCCACCTGAGAAGGCTCTGCTGGCTGAGAAGAGCAGCAATGAATCTTTCTTTGGAAATTTGAACTGGCTCTGCTCAGCTCACCTCTGTCCACCTCCTGCCATTCCCTTCCAGCCCTCCTCCCTGTGGAGCCATGTTATATACACAAGGTTTGTGCTCCTGTCACAAAGTGAATAAACAAGCGGAGATGCTGTCAGGGACATTCCTTACAGTGCTACATCCTGCTGCCATACCCTCACTGCTCCCAGAAAACTGAGAGAGAGCATTACTGCATGTGGCTGGTCTGTGGGAGATGGGCAGGCCACAGCATAGCCTGCAATGAGGTCAAAGCAGCCCCAGGAGGAGGTCAGCTTGTGAGACTCTCAATCCCTTAAAGCCTCACTAAATGCCCACATAAAATATTTAGCAGTTGTAAGAATCTTGTTGCTACAAAGATACACAACACATCATCTGTGTATAATTAGTAGAATGACTGTGAAATAAAGTACTTAGATGTCTGTAAAATCCAAATAGTTTTCCTTCTATTAGGAAACAACAAAATGCCCTATATATAGATGAGTACAACCCTGCCAGCTTTCTCTGAGATACTCTTTCTGCTAAGAGCGGTTTACCAGCAAATATGCCTTAATTTCTCTGGGTCAGATTATTCCCTATAGGAGTCCTCACACTGGTGCAAAATCAGGTTAACAAAAGAAAAAAAAAAAAAAAAGGCCACCAAACAAATGCCTTACATTCCACAGGTGAAATTATTTCACAAATAAAAAGGAAGTGAACACAACATTTTGTAGGTGATGCTTGCAGATTCTTACCATGTATTCCTTTTAAAATCTGAGACACTTTAACATTTTAAAGTACTCTGCTCTCAGTAAAACTAAACAGGGATATTGTTGGTGCTGGGACATTTTGTAGAAATATAGTGTCTTACCTGAGGGGTTTATTTTCCATTCTGGTGTCTTTTTTTTCCCCCTTGTTTTGTGCTATTCATGTTCCAGTTAACTCTTACAATGTTACACAGCCTACAACTTAGCTCTTATTCCTTTTTTATGCTAGAAAGCAAAGGGAGCAAGCAGCACAAAGCCTTTAACCTTATTTTCCAGGCCAACTTATCACTATATGTTGGTTACTGTCTTGTTTTGCCAATAGAAGGCAGAAAGATAAATGTATGTAGGCATATCCCCGGCTTTCACACAGGCTCCTCTAGGATGATTGTTTTCAGTTCCAGGAAGAGCATGCAGCAGATGAACATTCAAATGAGGATGAATTTTAAAGGACCTAAGAAAGCATGCTCCCAAAATGTAAGTTTTATGCATGTTAAAATTACCTATTTAATGGTATACTTCATATTAAATCACAGGCTTTCAGTAGCAGACCTTAGATAATGCCCACACAGGAAATAGATTTAGAGTTGCTTTCTTTTTCTTTAGAAGTACCCTGGACACCCAGCAAAACTGAATTACTAATGGCTCACCTTTGTGTTGATCATAAGTATTAGCTGAACCCTTTGGTCTAACTGGGTTAATTAGGTATTATGTTTTCTCTTTTTCACCTAAATAAGGGTTTTATAATGTCTTAATATTCCAGCTCCTGCAGCTGCTTTCATTGCGCAAGTTAAAGATCTCTCTGGTGCCCAGCCACCTGTTTTCAGCAAACATGTAAAACCTGTCTTGGCTCTGAAATGTCCATTTATCCTCAAGAACTAACTGAAACTGGCCATTCCCCTTCCTCCCATGATAGGAAAAGGCTGGATGATAGACACGTGTGACTGCATAAACACTGTTCCTTAGGAAACAGTCTTGAAGAAATAAATCACTGTTTGGATCACATGTTAAAGCTTTGTACAATTGAGGGTTTGAGATGTGCTAAATCTTAGACGTTCTGCACAACTCTATTCACTTGAACAGAACTAATCACTCCAATTGCATAAAGCTAAGTGCTTGTTTAAATCCTCACATGACTGATGACTAATGTTCAGTATTTAAAATCCTGTCCAAAGACAAAAGAACGGATTGTTTTATTTGAGCAGTCAACTTTCTAATCATCATAGTAATTTAAATCTCTATCATTTAAAATGTCTAAGAAGCATGACCTCGCTTCATCAACAGATTCTCCTTTCGTCCTTCTAGACAATTTTGCATACCATATACTACTGCATTAGAAGTAAAATATTTTCAGTTTGAAAGTGACTTAAACTCCATGCTTTATGACAGATATTAAAAAGAAATAGATGGAGACAGAAGATAAATTTGATGGGGTTCCCTGAGTGCACTAAATCTGAAGAAAACTCTGAGCCGATTTTAAATTTAAGTGGGCATGAGGCAGTTTCCGAATATGTGTCAGTGTGCAGTGCTCGACACGAATACAGGGCTTACTGCTTCATCCTCTCCAGCTTACCAGAGTTCAAAATGATAAAGGCCGTGGAGTTTGTATTGTTGCATCTCTAGGAGGTTTAAAGAGCGAATGTGAGCCTTTCGGGCACGGCAGCATTTTGCTTTCCTTACATTAGAAGCCCACCTGGGTTCTGCTTTGTGACCGGGGCCCAGCACAGTGCCCCGCGGTGTCAGCAGCGGAGCGGGCCCCTGGCGGCTGCCCGGGCTCTCCGTGCCAGGCTTTCTGTACCCGGGCTCTCTATCTGTGCCTGGCTCTCCGTGCCCGGGCTCCCTCTCCGTGCCCGGTTCCCGCCGCGCCGCCCGCGGCCGTGCCGAGCTCGGGCGGGGCCTGCCCGCCGCGGGGCCGCAAAGCGCGCCAGCCGGGGCGGAGCCGCCCGCGCTCTCTGTCGCGCTGCCGGAAGCGATGGCGTTGCGCTTTACGGCACGGCGCCCCTGAAGCGAGGCCCGGAAGCCCCGTGCGGCCTTTCCGCGGAGCCGCCGCCGAGGACGGGTGAGTGCCGGGGCGCTCCGGCCGCGCCCGCCCGCGCCCCCGCCCGCGCCCCCGCCCGCCCGCGCTCACGCCGCTCCCTCTCTCTTGCAGGAACAGCCATGCCGGCCAAGGGTCCCCTGCAGAGCGTCCAGGTCTTCGGACGAAAGGTGACGCGCGGGGCGGCGGCCTGCACCATCTGCTCCTCGCTGCCGGGCTGGCCCGCGCCTTTGGGCCGTTCGCGCTCGGGGGTCGGGGCCGCAGCTCCTCGCCGGGGCCGTGCGGCGGGGCTCGGCCGCGGGAGGGCCGGCGGGCGGGGGGTGGGATCCCGCCGCGCAGCCCACGTGTCCGGCTCCGGGGCCGCCGCAGCGCGCCGTGTCCCTGTGGGGAGCGCTTTGCTCACCTCGCGGGTGCGGCTGGGCGGCTTCTCCCCGGAGTGTCACGGGGTGGCCGCCCCTGTCGCCCCGATCCACAGCGGCCTGGCTCACCATTGCCGGTATCCGAGGGACACGTTGTGACGGGGTGGCGGGAAGGTAAAGTTCGCCCTGTTGGATGGAATGCAGCGTCTCGAATAATTCACGGTACCAATCTCTTGAGAGAACACGAGCCACAAAACTACGGTGTTGTCGAACGGAAGGGTCTTACCATCGTGTACAACTGCGTCTTGTAACTATAGATCAAACACTGAAACTTTTTTTAAGATTCTGTTTTAACACTGATAATACCTGGAGGTGTAGGGAAAGATACTGTTTAGTTTAGTGCATAATGTTAGTCTGGGGCATAAGACTAGAACTGCTCAATTGTTAAAATGAAATTGAAATTCCTGCTGCTTGTGCAGAAGTAAAACGCTGTGCTAATACACCTTTGGTTTTTTTAGAAAACTGCAACGGCTGTTGCCCACTGCAAGAGAGGGAATGGCCTCATTAAAGTTAATGGAAGACCTCTGGAAATGATCGAGCCCAGAACTCTGCAGTATAAAGTAAGCATCCACCCAGCCTCTGCTCTGCATCCCTTTTTATACATGTAGTTGCTTCACACTGGAGACAAGTGCCTTGTCCTACTGAAAGTACCAAAATTTTTGGTTGCTTACTGAAAATGCAAATGCTGTTAGGAAAATTCAGTAAAGTGCACTTCTGTGATTGGGGGGGGGGGGGGGGTTTGCTTAACAGGTTTCACTTAATGTGAAGCATTTTTTGCACTTCCTGTCTACTTTCTGAAATAAAATGGGTGACTTAAAGCCCTCATTTTAAAAAGGTTATTTAGAACTTTATACAGTAGCTGCTGAACAATGCTAACAGAATCTGAAACTGTCTAGATAACTGTAAAGTATAATAAATTGTGAAGAAAACTACCTGCAGACCACTTCAGGTCTTCAGTTTTAATGAACTTGACTTACTTTTTGTATGTAGTTACAGCATTTTAGCTAGACTGTTCTCTTGTTCTTAATTCTCATGTACATGTGCTTTGCTGCTAAGATATTTGAAACTTTAATAAACCAAAGACTTCAGTAAATATGTCTTATGACAGCACTAGTAGATGTCAGAGAACTCTGCAGGAGGTGTACCTGACCTGGGTGTGTGCTTTTAAAATCAAGGCTTCGTTTTTCAGAAGACTCAATGACATCACATTTGGTAAAGCTACTACAAGCTCTGATCCTCGTTACAAGTGAATTTTCTTTGTGCTCTGTTTCCCAGCTGCTGGAACCTGTCCTCCTCCTGGGGAAGGAACGGTTTGCTGGTGTTGACATCAGAGTCCGTGTGAAGGGTGGTGGCCACGTAGCACAGATCTACGGTAAGGTTTTGGGTGGGATTGCTGGGATGGGCTGGAGTGGGTAAAGCCACTGTGGTGAGTTGACACTGGCTGGATGCCTGGTGCCCACCAAGCTGCTCTATCACTCCTCTCCTTATCTTGATGAGGAGGGGGGAGAAAATAAGATTGAAAAACTTTGAATGCAGATTAATAAAGTAAAAGTAAAGGCTGTGCACTGAAGCAAGGAAAACGAAAGGCTTCCATCAGCAGGCAATGTTCAGCCACTTCCCGGGAAGTGGGGCCTCAATACCTGTAGCAGTTGCTCTTCCTTTGGTTTTACTGCTGAGCAGAGATCCTCTGGTATGGAATATCCCTTCTGGTCAGTTTAGGTGTCAGCTGTCCTGGCTATGTTACCTCAAGATCTTGCCCACTCCTAGCCCAGTGGTGATGGGCATATCTTGTAGGCACAGCCTTGATGCTGTGCAAGCACTGCTTTGCTGTAGCCAGAACACAAACCAGATTAGAGCTGTCACAGGAAAATCATCTCAGCCAGACCCAATGCGGCCATGTATTTAAGAAGAGGCTTAAATTTGCAACAGTGACTTGCCAAACTGTTCTTTCTCCACTGTGCAAATGTAGTTGTTTATATTTTTATGTGCAAAGCTGCAACAGAATAAGCTGAGTGAAGCAAAATGAAGTTTTGATGAAATACATGGGAGCTACCTTTACATTGTGACAGGCTAATTTAAAGGCAGCTGAGCACAAGGATTTTAGGAGGGGTTTAGCATTAGAAATTATATTCTTAGTTGTATATTTCCATGTTGCTCAGAAGCATCTTTCCAGTATGAGCAAAGCTAGGCAGTTTTCTCCTTGCAGGGAAGGCTGGGAATATATTAACATTAGCTGTTCTTAAGAGTTCATCTTTACAAAAGATAGATTTGTTCTGCTCTTAATTTGAATGTAGTTATTGAAGTGGAGCTGAGGCTGCGTAAAAAACAGGTGAATTTCAGGCCTAAACTTGATACCATGTGTTTTTCAGAATATTCATGTTTTCATCAAAATCCTGGGGTTAATATTTTCACAGATAAGTGTAACGACATCCTGACAGTTTCTCCCATTCTCCTGGTTTGAGTTCTGATTGCTGTTACTGAGCTAGTTTGTTTGTATTGCCATGTTCTAGCACTCAAGACCATCCTCTTGTCCCTTTTGCGTCCTTAGTCATCCAACACACACTCAATTTTGTCTTTGTTGAAAAATATAGACATGTCAGAGAACTGTATTTCTAAGATTTTGAAAGTTGACTGCTTGTAGATAGAAGATGAACCTACATTAGTACTCAGGAGAGAAGGTGATCTGACAGCCCTTGTGCAATATCTTGGCTAGCTGGCAGCTGTCAAATCGACAAATGAACTGTGGGTGGCCTCCTGGCACAGATTTCTTAAGATTTGCCAAAGTAAGGGTCACGTGGACTATGTGGGACGGGATATTAAGGAGAGAAAAGACAATTTGGCAGTGAACAAAATAGCACATTTCTCAGATAACTGGCACTTTGTGTTTGGATTTTAAATAGATTTGCAATTGTTACTGATCTTTTGTTTTTGTTTAACAGCTATCCGTCAAGCTATTTCCAAAGCTTTGGTGGCTTACTATCAAAAATGTAAGTAACTTTGTTTTATTAGCTTTAAGTGGAAGTGTATGGCTTTTGGTGGTTTTATTGCAAAAACAATTGGTTCCATGTGAAACTGCTTAAACTAAAGATTTATTTTTCTCTTTTGAACAGATGTTGATGAAGCTTCCAAGAAAGAGATCAAGGATATTCTAATCCAGTATGATAGGACTCTGCTTGTTGCAGATCCTCGCCGTTGTGAATCCAAGAAATTTGGAGGACCTGGTGCTCGTGCACGTTACCAGAAGTCTTACCGTTAAAATTGGTCTCTAGTCATATGGCAATCAATAAACAGAATTTGATAATTTTCATGTTTCTAAATTGCCTTTTCTTGGGTGGGTAAATAGATTTTTTCATTGTGTGTTAAGATTGATACAAAAATGGATTTGTGTTACAGTAGTATCAGAGGGTCGATGGCAGTTCTTTTTTTATCCTTTCATAGTAATTCTGATAGGTAGGGTTTTAGGAGTAAAGAAAATCTTTCTTCTGTTGATGAATGTGTGGTTATTCAAACATAAAAAAGGCTCACATCCTAGATTCTGCAGGCACATGGAACAACACAGTGGTTTATGGACCATTTCAGTCTTTACCCTTCTGGTAGTTAACATTGTCGAAACCAAAATAATTATGGGGGCAGGGGAGGGGCAGTGTGTTGAGCTCTTGCATTACCAGATAATGCAGAGATTGAGTAGTTCTGGACTAGTACATCTAAATGTAGGAAACTTAAAATACTTAGTGTTTTGTAAATACAGATCAAGGAATTGGTGTTTTAAGATTAGGTCTGAGTGATTAGTCCTTCAACCATATGTTCACACAGTACAAGCCGAGAGGAGTAACTCCTAGTATTATGAGCTAGGTGAGGCAGTTTGAAAGCCTTGGAGGAAGAGAGGGTGAAAAAAGTGAGTTGGAAAGTAATTTTAAAATTGGCTGCAGGATGTGCATATCAAGTGCAGAAGTTTCAGATCCTGTCCTTTTACCCAAGGACAAAAAATAAATTCTGAGTAAATGTGGGATGGGCCAACAGGAGTCTTTGTAAGACTCATTCTGTCCTTTGGAAGAGATGCAAGTAATGGAATGAGGCTGTGGGTACAAACTGATCCAACCAGTGTGAGTACAGCCCTGAGCTGTTGTTTCATGTGTTTGTAAACCAGTTTGGAGTGGAGCTGGAAGAAATACTGGGGATTAAGACACTTTTGAGAGCCCAGCTACTGCTGTATTGCTTTCCAAGCCTGGTATTTTAATGTCTGTGTATGCTTGTGTGGCATTACTGGAATTGTCATAGGAGTACCTTGGCTTGAGATTTTTAAATGTTGGGCTTTTCTCTTAGCATGTTATTCTAATTTGCTTAATGGGAAATGTTTTTCAGTGTACTCTGTCAACATAAACCAGCTTCCCTGTGTGTTGTGGAATTGAAATGAATAGTAAAATGCACCTTTTTCTTCTAGTTTAATATAAACAGATGGGTTCAGCTTTTTATTAATGTTAAGCATTTGTCATGAGCTCTCTGCTTTTTCAGTAGAAGAGTATTAAAGGTATCCTCACAGTTACTGAAGAGTTAAATGTGTAGCAAAAAAAATTCCTTCTAAAAAAGAAATTCTGCATCCATCTCCCCATTTTAGCTGTCAGTTTCTGCCACAAAGTAACTGCATTCCATGACAGAAAGAGAAATGCAATGCTTGTATTCAAACCTGTCATGCTCCTGTTGATGCGGAGGAGACTGTTGTATGTTCTATCACCAATTTACATACCAGGACTATTTGGTTTTACACAAAGAAAATGGGACACTCCATCCCAGACTCCTGTCTGGCAAGATGCATGGTCTGCTTTCCTCAGGCTCCCTTTCCTGCACTCTAAGCTCTTGGGCTGCTGAAAACTGCCCTGTTCAGCCTCCTGGCTCGGTTTTTTCCAAAGAAAAGATGATGTGCAGAGCGAACTTTGAGTTTGATATCTTGAATTCCTATGAGTTTTGTGAAAACTTGTGTCTTCACATTAATTGGCTTCAGCTGAGGGAAAATAAAGGCTCTAATTGTTTGGATGTGTGACTGAAAAGCAATGGCTTACTCATTGCTTAGGAGATGCTTCCTGGCCTCCCAGTTGGCACATACATACCCTATGCTGTGGCTTGTCCAAAACTGATTCTTGTCTGGCTGTTAGATCTGTGGGATGGAGGGGAAAAGAGATGAAGCAAAGTTGTGGTGGTGTGAAACCTAAAGAGGCAGGGGGAGATGGAATACCTGAATGACAGTAACTTTAGGGGTGGATTTCACAGTTATTAGGAAGCCTGATGAACATTTTTCTGCTCACAGAACAGCTTGTAACAATTAGGGATTATTGTTTTGCTGGTCTTTTGTAGAAAGGCTGAAAATAAAACTTGCATTCCTACTAATATATTCAGAGATGATATCTGCATGTCGTTTCTTCAACCAGAAGACTCTTAACATAAGAAAAATGCTTTCTGAATGGAGCTCTGATCCTATAAAAATTCCCCATTAATCCTGCAGAGTGATGTCATTCCCACACGCTTTCTAAATGAGAAATGTTTGTAGAGTTGGACAGTCTGTCTGGACGGCTGAAGATTTTTATTCTGAGAGGTTGCTTGCTGACCACCCACTAGAGGGCTTAACTTCCTTGGGAAACTGTAACCACTGTTAAGTTTGAAGGTGTTTGTAAAAATGTCTCCTTTCCTCCTGTCCTGATTCCTCAGGGATGGTAATCAGGCACTTGTCATTGAGCATCCACTCTGGCCAGAGAAACACATCCCCGGAGAAATTGTAAGTGTTTGATCTTCAAACCATTAGGAAGGTTCTTGAGCAGCTGGGGAGGTGGTTCTCAGAAAAGAGGAAACGCCCCTCACCTCCTATCATCTGGCTTTTTCATTAGTTTCACCAATGCTAATCCTTAGGAAGATCATCTGTGCACAACAAAATTGAATTAACAACAAAATTGAATTCTTCATTGCAAATACCATATTTTGTTAACAATGACAGTGGACCTCCTTTCAAACCAGGGTAAGCTTGCCAGCCCATGGCACAGAAGGCAGTTATTTCCTTATCCATTGTTTATAATCCTGATGAACCTTGTGATCTGTATATAAATTTAAGCCCTCTGAAACATTATGTTGGAAAATGTGGAGCAAATTTATTTTGACTTCAATGTACAAATATATTACCGCTTAAATGTTTAAATTTTATTTTTGAAGAAAAAATCTGTAATTTAAAAATTTAACACTGGCATTTTTAAAGTGGGACAAGTGTGTTCTGTATTGTGCTTTTTTTCTTACAAAAGCAATTATTTTCTAGTGCATTTTTTTCAAGTTTTTCAGAAGTGCCAGTCAGTTAGTATTCTAATATTTGTGTAGTTATTAAGTGTTGTTGACTTGAAATAATTTGGTTTGATTTTTTTAATCTCTTTCTTAATATAGTCCTCTGAGTTACAGTTCAGAGTACTTGGTTGAATAATTCTTTTTCCTTAGCTGACATCCTTAATGTGCTTGGGACTTTGCTGTTTCCTACCTTGCCTTGGGCTGAGATGTCTAAACTTTATGAAGCCTATTGCTTTAACTCTTACAAAGTTCCTTTGCAGATAATAAGGCTTGGCCTATCTTTAAATATTAAAAAAAGTTAAACAACTGTGAAATACTACATATACCAACTTTGCTATAGAAAAATCGTTAAAAGAAATCCCAAAACCAAACAAAACTCACATAAATGCTATTTTGGATAGCTTTTTTCCCTGTTAACCCAAAAGAGTTAATTTCTATTAATATTACAATGATTTAGTTGTGAAACTGCATATGAAGCACAGTGAGAAATGCACTCTTGAGAAAGTGAGGAATCCCAGATGAGATTTCTCAAAGGAGCTTGAGTTTCCAAGAGTTTCTAAACCAGACTTAGCCTGACAGTAAGATAACTGTCAGTAAGAGAGACTGGTAATGGAATTTGGAAGATGCAATGCTTGGTTTCATGTCATCTTGACAGCAGTCTTGTGAATAGATTTATGAGATGGTGAAAGTCTATTTCCTATAAGTTCTCACATAAGAGTGAAAAGTCTGTGAGTGACTATATCAATGTTTCCATATGGCCTAGGAATTTACTTTTTTTGCTTCTGTTTGTGGTGTGGAGTGGTTTTGGATCACCATACTGCAGGTGCAACTGAGCTGAGAGATGCAGTCCAGCTGCAGACAAACAGCCAATCCACGGGAACAGACCATAGCTACTCCCATAGAGGTAAAAACAAAGCAAAAACTCTCTTGAAATGCAACTATGGGAATGTCAGCTTCTCAAATCCAACAGTTCTTAAAAACAAAATAGTTCTTAAATACTCCAGACAGGGCAAAGTGTTATGCATCAGTTTCCAATAAGTACCCTTGTGCCATCAGTGATCGCAAACCTTCACCAGTGCTGTTGGCTGCTGTGTGGACCCAGGGTTTTGGTTTTGTCCATGCTTGGAGAGGCTGAGTTTTCATTTGCTTTCATTTGCGTGTCCATCTGGGGAGCAGGAAAGAGAAAGGGCTAGAAGGAAGGATGGGAGAACTTTTTACTCCAAAGAAGTCATCAGCTTCTAAAATTCTTTTGGGTCTAACCACCCCTTCTGTAGCATGCTCAGGAGGTCTCATAAAGCACCTCCTAGGAAAAATGGAGGGTAGGCAAAAGATAGGCTTTGTAAAATAAAAGTATCAGCAACAATTTCGAATAGCATTGTAAGTGTCTTTAAAGCTGTGCTTTCTGATGATTCTGTTTACATTATGGTAAAGCAGGTAAGATACTTTTATTTTAAAACATGGAACCTTTTAATTTTGGTAAAATTATGATTTTATTTTTAATGAAAATTAGAAATTAAACCCTTTGGCCCTGTTGACTTCTTTCTCCTTTTTCCTAATGTGAAGTGTTCATAACATGATTTATTAAGACCAAAATATAATTATCCTCTGAGAAGCCTTCTTTTGTGCTATAAGCAAACTATACCCAGAAAGGCATCCAGAATATTCTTAAAAAGCTGGATGTATTATTTAATAGAAGTTCATCTCTCTCCTTTCAGGACAGAGAAAAAACATTACTATGTTAATATGTAAAACCATGTAGTTATAATTATACAGTGGTATTATTTCAGGGTCTTGCAAAAAAATGTTGCTGTACTGAGAAGTAGAGAATAGCCCTCAGCTCAAGCCTCAATGCACACAAAGGTGTGTGACGACAGAAGGATCTCTCAAACCACCATGACATGGCAACGTTTCTGTCATTGTCTGCTGTGTTATAAAGGGCCAATTCAACTCAACAGGGGAGTAATACTCGCAGGTCTGGTGGAAGTGTAACTAATACAGACTGCGCTGAGGAGCTACCATGCATTGCTAATGAGAGACATGCAGCCAGGAAGTTGTACGCAACACTCGCAGGGCTCCTGAAGCTGTATGTAGCTACCAAGCTTGATGTCTCCTGCTCTTTTCCTATTTTACATTGCATTATTTTAAGTAATGAGTCCAATTATCTAACCTCTAAAGGATTTAAATACACTGTAGAAATATACAGTTGTAAGATGCCCTGTAATCAAAGCCATTAATTTGGATAAATTCCCCTTTTCCAACTTATACTGAAATGAACATTGTAGGAAAGCTCAGTTTAATGATACCGTGGAGTGTATTCTTGCTTCATTCACTGCTGTCCACTTTGCAAGGTAAGAATTTTATTCTATTCTTTTGTGGTAATCCTAATTTTTACAAATATTTTTCTAAATATTTTAATATTACTGGTTATTTTTTCTATCTTCTTTTTTTGACCTTGTTGGAATTTGTAAATGCAATTTAAACAAGTATATTTCATCATTCTCTCTCACAGGTGCAGAAACCAAAATATAAATTCTTTTTAAGAGCCATTTTTTACATCTGAATTTGTTAGAAAACAATTATTTATGAACAAAGTCTAACTTTCTTGCCTTTCTTGCTGTTATTGTCAGACGAGTAGCATTTTATGGTTTTCAATAAAGGTAAGATTTTATTTGAACAGACTGCACGTGAAGTTTTTTTAAACGTTTTTAGACTGCTAGGGTAAATAATTGCTCTTCTAGTTATAGAAATTATCTTACTTTCTATATAATGCAACTGGATTTTATATGTAGTTTCCTTGCTACAATTACAAATATTTTTAATATAATATGAAAAAGTTTTTTGTGGTTTTGTTTGGTTTTGTTTATTTGCTGGCTTGTTTTAAGTACAGGCTCATTAAAACTATTTACAATTCAGTCTTACAAGCCACTGTCAGTAAAGTATTATAACCCTGGAGGTTTGATTCTGGAAAGCTCTGTGTACCTGTTCTATTTCACTTGTTTACCTCTTCTATTTTTTTGTTCTGTGCCTCTAAAGAACTATGAGCTCTTTTTACTTCTTCATGGTAGCAGGTACCGGAACTACAACCATGGAACCTGCAGGTAAAGACTGTGTGAGAGGATCAAATTCTTAGGAAGGAGTGAATATAGTCCTACATTCCTAGGATACAGAGTTTCTACAAAAGTGCCCTGGAAAACTCAGGATTCTTAAACCCCAAAATTCAATAATGTTGTTTTAAACTTGACATTGCTTGCCAAGGGGAGAGTGATGCTGTAAAAAAAAAAAGTTTAACTTTGTGATTTTTTAATCTACAGGATCTTATTGCAAGCTTCCTCTTTTGAGAAGAACTTTGAGGTAAGTTTTTATTCCTTATTTGTATAGTCCTACAAACAGAACAAGAATGAGCAAATGCAATGCAGTGAAAGTTAGAAAGCAAAATATAGCCTTGAATTCAATGTGTAAAATGTCATCTACATGTAGATTGGATGTAGAACACACTTTCAGAATGTTTACAACTCTTTCCCAAGTATTTACGTAATGGGCATGGGTCCTCTGTTTGAAAAATGGAGGTCCTTATGAAAAATGATACTTCTATGGTCTCGAGAAAGCTTAGAGGAATAATGGAATGAAAACAGCATGAGATCATGATTTCATGACTGGAAAAATACATTAAATGAGTATCCATCTACAGTTTTAACTGCATGATAAAATCCTAGCTGCTATTTGAAGCACAGAAAAGTAAGTGCTATACAGCCTTAAAATAAACATTTTCAATACTAATTTTCACATAGAAGCTGAAATCCAAACAAAACCCAAACTAGGCAATGTTCCTGATCCCATTGAATTAAATGGGATCTATGCCATCATTTTCAATGGAGGCATCAAGTTGGACGTAGCTTTGTGTATCTTATGACTTTCTAATACATCTAGTGGACACACAGGCATGTCAAATTATATGTGATCATGAAGTGTTGATAGAACTAAGTGTGTTTTATAGTTTAATGCTCTTGTTTCTAAACTTAATCACAAATTAAAGTCGGCTCCAGCTGGAGAGTCAACTCTTGCTATCAAAAGTACCATCAGAGTATATTCAAGCAACACTCCAGGGAACTTGTAGCCACTGACATGCAGCGTGAAGTAAATATGAAGCTGGTTTACAATTTTGTATCCTGTTGTGTAAGTCTGTTTTGCCTATTTATGTCTCCCCAAAGCTCCAGGTATCTCCCTGTCCAAGCAGAGATTGGAGTGCCGTCCAATTCTGTAAAATGAGACACTGTCAAGACAAAAAAAAAAGAATCACCTTTTTAAATGTTAACCCAAGAAAGACCTCTTTGATAAAGTGATGGTAATCAGAGAGAAACACTTCTCTCTGGGGACTTGCTTATTCAGGTTGCTCCAGGGACCTTTGATAATACAACATCCTTTTTGTTTTCTTCCAGAACTGAGTCTAATGCAACTCGACAGAAAAGAGATCTTGTAACAGCCGAGGTAGGTTATACCTCCAAAAGAAGGAGGGTGGGGAAACCCTCCTCCCTTTTCTGCTCTGGGCCTTTGCCATCCTTACAAATGACCCTTTGTGGGGAGATGGGCTGCAGTAACAGGAGGACAGTGAGGAGGAGCAGCTACTCCCCACCTGCTCACCCCACCTGAGCCGTGACCTAATGCCTTCATTCTCCCTCAGCAAAGCACTCAGCAGGGACCTACCCTGCCAAGCTGACTGACACACAGCATGGGAAATAAACCCAGGCCGTTCTCTGTGTTTTGTGGGGGTGAACAGGACCTGGAAAGCTGTTTGTGTTTGTGAGAGGCACAATGGCCGCGCCACTGGCAAGGGTCCCTCCTGGACATGGTGCCCTCAGCGGCTCCGGCCTAGCCCTTGTTCCCAACGCCCTGGCCCCACGCTGCCTCAGTGCTGCATCCCAGCAATGTTGTGCTGAAATTCAATCCTAAATGGAGGAATCTTGTTCCCCCACTTGTACACACTTGCGCTATGGAGCCCAGCCAGGGGTTACAACCCCTTTGAAGGGGGTAGGCAGGAAGCCAGAGGCGGTCCCGCCTCAGGGTGTCCCTGGGAGCCTGCAGGCTGAACCAGGGTGATTTTCTGCAAGACCCTTTGAGATGTGTGTGCTGCTAGGGAGTCAAAGGCAGCTGTGAAACATTGCCCTGAGGTAACCGAGCCCCTGGGAGAAGCAGGGCTGGAGGTGTCCTCAGAGGGCCCTCAGCAGGGAAGAGCTGTCGCACCAAGGATGCTCTGCAAAATGGCGCAAAGGCCAAAAGCAGCTTTTGTGAGGCGGGCAGCTTGGAGTTGCTATCAGAAAAAATGGGAATGGGCCTTGTTGTGCAGGGAGGGAAGGGACACTGCACCTACCACTGGACCATGGGCACCAGGGGTTTTGGTGCAGGGGGCCTTCCAGGTGGTGATTCAACGAAATCTATTTCAGTTTGATTTTAAACAGATTGTACTACTTGGAAGCATCCCACAACATATTTCCATTTGAAAAAGCGAGCTGTAAAAAGCCTTGGCAAGACCTAAAATGTTCCTTGCACATTGTTGTTAACTTGAGATCCATCAGTTCAAACTTGAGATGTGAAGAATGAGTGGAGTCAGGAGGGAAGAAAGAAATTAGTTTACAAGCAAAGACTAAAAAAATTTCTTAGTTGTACAGCTGAAGGCTGGCACTTAAGTCTGTGGGAACTGCAGAAAGGTAACTGTTTTTTCATAGAACATCAGATAAGAAATAAATAACAAACAGAGGAAAGAAGAGCTATTTAAGCAAAAAGGACCAGATTTATAAAGAAAGCTACTTAAACTGGCCATGGATAAACATAAGTGGGAAACATTAAAGTGCTCAGCACTTCAATCCTGGTAAACTTTCCAGTCAGTCTAGTGGGGGCAGAAGCCCCAGAGTACTTGCAGTCTGAAATGGGATCATTGGAAGGGAAAATGTGATGTGACAAGCTGCAATATCAGAGTGCTGGCCAGATGCAGGGCTTCCTCTTAGTGTGAGGCTCCCTGCATCTAAACAGGAGACAGATCAGGCAGATCTGCTTTCTCTTTTGTTTGGGATGAACCAAAATGCAATTCTGAAGGATGTCAAGGAGAACACAAAATCCATTGCAGCTGGACTGGCCATAATGGGATGATCTGGGTGCAGCATGGAGTATGAGTCAGGGGAGTGGAAGCAATAGAGGGAGCCCTTCAACAATGGGCATTTGAGTGAAATGAAAAAGGGAGATTGCACTCTCTCCCCTTCTTTTCCTTCTAAACGTAAATGCAAAACTTCCCATGTGGAACCCTGGTGATTCACTGGAACTGGAGGCCATGGATGAGAAGCCAGTAGTGATCTCACATAGCGGCTGTATCTTTCCCCAATCTCCTCAAAAGACACTGTACTTCTTCTTCCCAGGCTGCTAATCCCTCCAGCAGCACCATTAACTGTGCCATGCACTGGCTGAGATGCAAATTACTCTTCTGTATTTAAAGTTCCAACCCAGTGTTTGAGTGCAAGGCCTCAGGTTTTATCAATTAATTTTTAAACCACAAACACCCTGATTTGGCTTTTATGTTTCTCTGACAGGTTCAATCTGCCTCTCGGTTGCACCATCATGGGACCCTGATGCGGAGTCCACCAGGAGGTCAGTGCTGTCACCCTCATCTGCAGGAGGAGAGAACCCTGAAAATTCTGCCTCCCTCCTCTGTGTTACCATGGGCTGTGGAAGCCCTCTTCTTCGTGCCACTACAAAATTCTCTCCTGTCTCATTTTCTCATTTTATTCATGTTAAATATATATATAAAAAAATCTGTTAAAATGGTACTTTCAATATAGGGCCTTATGACCAAATCTGGACAACTAAGGAAGCCAATCTTCTGAGATTTTGTGGGTTTTTTTTAAAGTTTAGTTTTATTACAATTTTTAATTTCTGCCACTTTTTTTCTGGCCTTGTCAGAGAATGTAGGTGTATCAGAGAGTCTTAAAAGTGGTTGTGCAAAGGGAAATGAATACTCAGGAAATGAGCATGAAGCTGCTCCTGTATGGATTTAAGCATTGGACAAATATGTAAAGCAGGTTTAAGTTACAGAAATTTTTACAGAAGAGTTCACTGTAGGCAACTTCAATTGGAATTTTGGTATCCTTCTTGGAAAATGCCCAGGCAGGTGCCTTCTTTTGCATTTTTCTATGTAAATGAATATATGCAATTTTACAACTCAAAATTCTAAAAACAGCAAAAGATTTCCCCATTAGGGCTGTTGTAGAAACAATGGTTTCTGCTTTGTTGGTATTTTCAGAGTATCTATGTATATTTGGAAAGCAGTTCTTAAATGGAAAAAATTCAAAGCTAAGCATGGAAAGGAATTTTCACAATGACGGATGATATTCCTAACCACTGGTAGCTTCTTTGTCCCTTTACTGTAAAGGTCCCATTTTTTTTCCCCATTTAATGTCACTAGCAGCTTTGCTGTGCCTCATTGGGAGTGGAAGGACCTGTTTATTTCATTTACTTCCTGCCTTGTGCAATGCTTTTTTAATCCCCATCAGCAACATTGGAAGTTTTATATGTATGTAGAGTTTTAATCCTACTCCAAGAAGGCAAGCAACTCTCTGCAAAAAACTGGTGAAGTTTTGCTTTGGGACTAGCTTTCTTTTGCAGTTTTGGGGAATGATGATTTAAACCCAACTCAATGAATGATTAGTAAATGACAAGGAGTTCATAGCTTTCAAAGAGACTATAAAACCATGTAATGCTTTTGGAAAAAATTACTAATTATAACATAAAACAAACCATTCCCATGGAATCTAATGCCTCTGACTCCAGTCACCTCTGAAGCAGAAATAACCTTTTAGCTGACTATTTTTGTTAGAATGTGAGGAAGGTTGTTTAGGACTGATTTTGACTCTAAAATATATATTCTGGCCTGTTCATAAACTGAATGTACCCTTTGCAGTAAGGTTTAGGAGGGAGAAGCTGGATATATGTATAAATGATGCTGAATTTAAGGAATAAGAATGATCTGTGTCCTGTATATTTTGAGATCAGCAGGACTGGGATTTGATTTCTTTACATGGGAAGTTGACCTTTTGTTTGCTTGGAGGAGGTTGACCTTTTGCTCCTTTGTTAGTTTATAAGTCTCAAACCAAATGAGAACCTTACTTCTCTTTTAACTAAGGAACATGAAGGATTAAATTAAGCATATGTTAAAAAATGGAGATAGTGGTTGGTTAATTTTTTCAGCTAATATGGCGGCTCAGATTTAACAATAAAAAAATTTGGCTAGGATCTCTCAACCTCTTGGAAAAATACTGTATCTACTAAAAGGCTGGAATGCTTCCTTGCAGGTTCATGTCCTCAGGAGTGCCTTAATGGAGCAGCCTGCACAGAGGGAGGTGACTGTGACTGTCAGTTATTCCAGGCTCAAGGAAGCAGGTGCCAAATTGGTAAGTTTTTGGGCCAAAATAGTTTAGTATCAGCTTTCAGGAAGATTTAGGATGCAGATTTTGAAAAACTACTGTTACCAGGATATTTGTGATTATTCTGTAGCAGGACTCTAATTTGGCCAGTAGGTAGGAGGATTAAAATTATATGCATTATTAGGGACATATAGAAAACAACATCAGAAATGTCTGCATTTTGCACTTGGGCTGTAATGATATAGAGATACCATAACAGATAGACCATTGTCTAGTATTGTCTAGTAGCCAGACAGCTTTTTTTTTTTTTTAAATTAGCTGAATAACCAAAAACCACTGCATTTCTTTTAATAAGCAGTGCTTTATTGCCAATTAAATCACCTACTATTTAAATTCAACTAGTTTCTGGAATCTGCTGTGTGTAGGGATCAACAAGAATTGTCTTCCAGGATGTGCAGAATATCTAACTCCCTTGCTTCTACTTGTAATTAAAATGTCTCCACTGAAGCAAATAAAGATTTAATTATGATTGCACATGGCTAAAACTGCAGACTTAGGACTAAAAAAGAGTACTGTCTATAAAGTTGAAGGAGTAAGTTGATCTTTTGCACTAGCTAGTTTTTGATGACCACGCTTCTTGTAAACTCAGTGTGTTCTCTCCAGTACCTAACACTGGCAAGGACCGAGATGGGATTTGCAAATCATGGGGACAGTATCATTTTGAAACATTTGATGGCATCTACTACTACTTCCCAGGGAATTGCTCCTATATATTTGCAAAAGACTGCAGTACTCTGGAGCCCCAATACACTGTTTGGGTAAGTATGTAAACATACATTAGAAGTAAGTATGTAAGTAAACATAAAAATAAATAAGTAAAATAAGTAGACAGACAGTAAATGTACCAAACTGAGCATTAATTGCTTAAATATAAAACTGTGGAAATGTGGGAAACTTCTGGAAAATCCTAAATTTACATGCAGTAACTCAAAATTCTAATGTAATTACAATCAAAAGAGTCAGTATATTAAAAACAGTATTTCTTTCTCCTTCGATCCTTAATGGGATATCAGCTCTCTCCCTTCTGGGAGCTAAAGTGGGTCTTAAACAAGACCCCAGAAACTTTAACAAACTTCAGCTACCAGGCTGTAAAAAAATATTGAGTTGCTGAGTTTCTGAGTTGCTGAGTAAGTGCAAACAGCTATCACTTGCCTATTAGTGAGGAACATGAATGTGCTGGGCCCTAATCCACAGCTATTGGCATGCTATGAGAATCTGTTTCCCTGGCCTATGGGATTTGCTCCCCATCTTGTCCCCTCAAGGGGTTTGCATTCTAATTTTGGATTACATCTACTTCATGCAGAGAAGATTAACTGCTGAAAAGCTTTCAACTTGACCTATGTATGGAAGGCACTCTTTTTAGTCATTTCTTCAAATTGCTGAGTATCCATGGTTAATGACTGTGGGTCAGGGAGAGTTCAAACCTATACCCTCTTTGAAGAGAGATGCCCTATCTGTCAGGCTGGTGGTTACTGTGGGGAGGAGATACAAGATCATTCTGTTACCTTATTCACAATGGTTGGGATTTGGTGCTGATGGGGCAGGGAAGAGACCACAATTTTGAGCCCGTGTGTGTACAATGGTCGTAGGCATGAGGGCAGATCTAGATGCTGATTTCTGCTCTGAGGACTGTTTTTCATTTATAAACAGATGACCTCTTCTTCCCTCCGATAACAGCACTTAGTGAAGATAAATCTACCATTAAAACTGCCATTTCTACCTACTCAAGTTAAGCGGAGACACTGTTACACCTGCCTTTCACAATTTCATTTTAATTGTTTGGATTCTATATGCAGCTGTGACCTCTTAAAGGTTTTCAGAAAGTGCTGTAGCAAAGTCCAAGATTATATTAAAATCTGGAATCAATATGTCAGTGGATTCCAATGGCTCTGGAAGATTCTATTTGATTGCTGGAAAAAATGTCATGTTTTACTAAAAACTGAAAATGTTTACTCAGCAAAGTCATAAGTAATGTGAGACTGTAGACAGACTGGGTAATGGAGAGACAAAAACCTTGCCAAATTCTAACATTATGGTCCTTCTGGCTTTAATAATCAACCCCTCAAGAGGAGAAGAAAACATAACGATTATTTTGATTTTCCTTTATTGTGTTTCTGTCTTGGGATGGGCTTACACAGAAGCCATTTGCCTGGTCTAATAACTTTTATGTTGTCTTTAATTATGATTATCTTTATACATGTAAAAGCTCCAAATGCTTTTCCTTACCTAGCTTATTTGAGCCAGAGAAATAGTAACTGGTTTTTGCTTCCAGATTTAGTGTCAGTCAAGGAAGATTTATCCAAGTATTCATGAGTATGTGTTTACTCACGGATGTTTTCTTCAAAACAGTTACATTTACAGTGTCCCTCACTATGTTGGTAAAACGTTCCCAATTCCCAAGTTTATTTAGCTTAACAGCACTGTCAAGTAAATAGGTAATGAAATTCCCATCCTTCTCAGAGAATGATGACACACAAAGTAACATAAGTAATATTTGAGCAATTTAATCTCTGTCTATATTTTAATCTGGGAAATGATAGGCATCTAAGATGTAAAACACATTTCTCTCTCCCTTCAGTGGTGTCTAAAATAAGCTTACGGGCTTTTGAAGCATGCTAGGACATCCTACAGGTTTGGGTGGCTCATTCCCCCTGAGATTAATGAAAACTGTGTAAGCTTTGCTCAAGCACAAACCCACAGTTTTCAAGTCCTGAGACTACTGTATTTGAGCAAGATAAGTTGGTATATGACTAAGCCAATCCCCTGGCTCATATGTATAATGGAGAAAAGCACACTTCAGAAAAGTCTACCTTTCTTCATTAGCAGGGCTGGAAAGCCAATGCAAAATGGATTTTAACAGGTCCATGTAACTTAGATGGCTGCTGTAATCTGTGGGAGCACTTCAAAATCTCAAGAAATCCTGAGTGGTTTAGGAGGGCATGCTGTAGTTCAGCTTGTACCAGTCTCAGCTGGCAGGGAGAGTGCTGCTATTACACTGAGGTTCTGTATGGTTTGTAAGCCTGTTTTATAGATCAGATCTCTAGACACAGAGAAGTAGGGATGTTTCTTCAGTGCAAGTAGCAAGCTCCACCTTTGGCCTCTATAAGCTAGCTCACTACAGTGTCTCTGAAGTTTGTCAGTGTAAAATGCCTGACTCCTTTATCCAGTATTTAGACCACTGGCCTGTGATGATATGCACTATTAAACAGTTGTTGTATTTCTCAGTAGTACCCTGTAGTGTGAACTTTGAGTTTTGCATACCTTTGTAATTGTGATTTTGCAATATTCTAGGTATTTATTTTTAAAGCTCTTTCATTAATTGGGGCATAAAAATGTGAAATATCATATATGAATTTAATAAAAATGGTGCAAAATTATTGAAGACAGCATTTACTCTTTTTGTGTGTATGTTTTTTCCCTCAAAGGTTCATAACAGTCCTCACTGTTATGGTTCAGTATATACTTGTCATAGGTCTATCAGCTTATTTTTTTCAAACCAAGAAGAAATAATGATTTCAGGACATGAAGTAAGAAAAAATGGAATCAGGTAAGTGTTCTTCTGGTGAGTTTTAATATTTTATTGGGAAAAAGATAAAGTGGAGTTTGGGAAACTGAGGATTCTTACACCATCCAGATAAAATAATTTGATCTGTACCTTTACTGATCCCTTGCTGCTCTGTATTGGGGCTGATAGTGCTCTAGTGTGAGCAGCTGTGACAGTACTGATGTCATACACGAGTGAGGACAGAATACACTGTATTGACTGTGTTCAGCTTCTCAGCTGTAACCTAACAATTATTTATTCCTTCTTTTTACAGACAAAGTCTGTGTCAGGCAGTTCCAGCTAATCCCTGGTGCATCCAGATAGCATTTTGAACAAGTCAATCACTATTTATTCTTGGTAGCTATGGCTAATATAAGACATGATCGTCTTCTAGATGAGTCTGAATTGGTTAAAAAAAATATCTTAAGCCCCTTTGGGGAAAAAAACTCCACAAAATATCTCTGAGGTACATCAAACCTCCAAATTTACCTTTCTTTTTGTAAGAGAAAGATGTGTCTAAGGCATCCTTTATGCAAAATAAGTATATTTTACTGATTGATAAAGTACAGAAATTTCAAGAAAGTTGTTGAGGTGCTTTTGCCATCCCCTTTGTAATGCCTTTAGTATCTGAGAATGGTACCGCTGGTGACACGTTCGACCCAACAGAAGCAACTTTGGAAGACTGGGATTAGATCTGTGCTTATTATTGTCCAGTGGTCTTTCCCCAAAGGAGGAAGAGGTGCAACTTTTTTGTCAGTGGTGTTTTCTGTACTGCAAGCTCCTCCTTTTGCAGATGTCTAACCCAGTGATGACCCAGTGCCCAGAAGGGCTGGTGGTGGTTTCTTGCCCAATGCAGCATGCTCATGAACTCAAGTATTCCTCAATGCGGTGTGCCAGGCTTTGAAAGCAAAGATGCATTATTCTTTTAAACCTATGATTGGTACAACTGATAGGTGTATACAGCAGAAAGCACTCATTCTTGATGGCTGACATAGAGAAGTAAATATAAGATAGTAAAGACATGATGAAGAATTGAATGGAGTGACTGTGCACACCCAAGAAGAAGTGCTTGTTGAGTTAGAGGTGATGTTTTATGTGGTATTTTTCTAGCATGAACCTCATCTCATCTGAGATCTTTGATGTACACTATATTTTTCCAGATTAATATTGCCTCAGACAGTTGGAAATGCTTTCATTGAGAGACTGGCTGACTATATTCTTGTGAAGACTACCTTTGGTTTTTCTCTTGCTTGGGATGGCAACTCTGGTATTTATATTAAGCTGACAGAAGATCATAAGGGAAAACCTTGTGGCCTTTGTGGAAATTTTAATGGCAATAAATATGATGACCTGATACTTCAAAACAGTAAGTAAATAGCTTACCCTTACTTTGTGTGAACAGTTTCCATGTTCACTTTAAATACAATGCTGTATAAATAGAATGTTGTAAAAAGTCAGTCCTGTTTCAGTTATTTCAGTAAAATAGTATAGCTGCTCTACTTTTACTTCTCCTCATCATTAAAGATGCAAAGGGAAAAGGTCCTAGTTCAGGAAAGTACTTGTATGTGCATTTAAACCTCTTGCTCAGCAAAGCACTTTGGGTATCTTTATCCTATTGCCTTTAAACAATAAATACATAAACAAATATTTATGATTTTTTCTGTGTTTAAAGATGGAGAGGAAGAGCACCATCTTGGGTCATTCTCTTAAAGCAACATCTTAAAAGTCCTAGTTGAAATAAGTAAATTTCTAGGGTGTTTCCTGGGAGTTCTTGTATCCCCTTCTTGGTATGGTGGACTAAGGGCCTTGGACTACACTCTAGAATGAGAAGCTGCTTTGTGGTGTGCCTGAGGCAGAGATGACTTTTTAAACTTGTATTCTGTAGCCAAATAGGGAATACTCCACAGGGACTTTTGTCTTACTTGCAACTAATGTGAAAAAAAAAAAAAAAAAGAACGGGCTTGAAAATATGAGGATTTTTCTCACTCTCTTATACAAACAAAATAAGATTGTCTTACTGTTATCATTAACTGCTGAGAGAATCTAGTCCCATGACTCTGCATGTGTTTAAGTCACAAAAGGTATCCCACAGTAACTTTTTTCCCTTTTTTTAATGGTTGGTAGTGGAGCTTTAAAACTTCCTTAAGGAAAGAATGCTCGCTCTACGTATCTTTGCAGATTCTTTAAAAATCTACCTGAGTATACATTTTTCATACCTTTTCTGCCATGAGAGCAGTAAATTTTGTGCAGTAACTTCTGTTCACCAGAGTACAGTATGTTTAATAACTGATTTAGTCTGCTGATGTGTAATAATAAAGAAAAATAATATTTGGAGGAAATAATGAATTCATGTGATCTCTAAAATTCAATGATTTCAGTATCTTTAGATGTATTATCTGTTATAAAAGATTTCCAGCTCATACTTGTCTTCATTTTTGGAACTGAATTTTTTCACCATGATCATTTCATCTAGCATTTTTCTTTATCAAACATGGTAGCATTATTACAGTGAACAACTGAGAGCCAAATGAATTTAATCTTGAATCAGTTGTATAACATGGCGCCTTGACTCTGCAAATGCAAAGCATGACATTCTGAGATCTTCAAAAGAATAGGCTGCTAATTCAGATCCCTTCCAAGCTGCAACATTTTTCTAAGAATTTCTAAATTCTTATCAATCATTTGATATAATGATTTCTTTCTTCCAGCTAAACTACTTCCCTGAGTAGTGTAAAGGTAGCTCTTAAATCTATCCTGAGTCTTCCAGAGTCCAAATGCTCATTATTTGTCATGCGTAAATAAATAAACTGCTGAGAGGCATATAATACTCCATTTCTAAATACAGTTTAAAAACAAGCTCCTTTTTTGTTTCCTTATTTTCACCTTTAATAGCATCTTTGTGTTGCTTTAATATGAAGGACTGTATCTGTGTATAGAACTGTTTCAAGGACAATGATTTTATTATGTGGTGTTTTTTTTTAAGACTTAGAGGTTTTTTTCAAGCCATGTCAAAATTACATAAAGTATTTTTAATGTTCTTGTAGAATCAGAGTTATAACAACAGGTTCATGTCTAGATTAAACCCCAGCCTTTTGTGTTTGGGAAAGGTTTTCTGCATAAAGAACTCTGTCAGAGAGGAAGAAATATTTTAAGTCTCTCTCACTCATAAGCAAAACAGACTGATGGTTAGGATATTATAGTAATTTATTTGTGGAGATCCAAGTATATGTATCTCATTAGTGTGCTTTGTGGCTTTCCACATTTCAGTATCCAACTTTGTACCTCTTGTGCTAGATGTTAGATTAAGTTTTCCATAGTACAGATCTGTGAAAAAAAACCCTCTAGCTGATTTAATTTCAATATCTTTCTCCTAGCCATGCATGGATATAGATAACCATAGCATAGACAATTACTGTCAGGTTCTTCAAAGTGGAGGCAATATACCATTTTTAACCTAATAAGGATGTAGAGAAAATACAATATTTAGTTCTTGCTGCAAGTATATGGGAATTTTGTGTCTGATTTTTTACTGCCAACCTTCTTGTATGTTCCTGTATCTAAGCCTGTTGCCATGACTTCCAGTCAGGCATCTTGTTCATTAATTCTCCTGTGCTCGTGCTGTGAGGAGAGCCGGGCATCTTGTGCCTGTGTGTTGAAGGACTTTTCTGCAATAAGGGAAAAGGAGGGACATAATAGCACTAACTGACCCTTGTGAAACGTGATGAAAGACTTAAATTGCCTCAAAGAAATGTATTTTTCTTAAGTATTCAATGCCTTCCACTTGTCATTATTTGTATATTTGCTATGAAATTATCAGTGATTGTGCTTAAAATAACCCAAGCTGACACCTTGTCATGTATTTTTTCAATATTTTTATTTAAATGTAGTATAAAATGCAACCTGAAATAAAAAAAGATATTACTTTTCTTTATGACTTGTACTCAGAAATCATCTGTAATTGAGATAATGAACACATTGAAAAATTACTAAAATTTTCAAAGCTGTCTTATGTGTTTGTGTTGGCAATTTTTTACTGTTGTTGTCCTAATGTTTTTATGCAGTAGGTGAATATACAGAAGACATTGCTGAATTTGCAAATAGCTGGGCTGTACAAGCCTCAGACGATATAGCTTGTGTCCCTACTGCTTCAGATTTTTCCAGTCCTTGCTCGGCCAATGCAGAATCCACTGAGGTAAATGAATTATATTTTATGTATATACATCAATGCATGCATATGTATACATGTATTTTCTTAATCTTCACTGCCTACTGATGGTACAAGAATCTAACAATATACACAATGTTGAAAAAGCCTTAAATGCATTGAGGCTTTGGGAAAGATTCAGATCAGGGCTGTTGCTAGGGAGTGCCTGAAATTCTTCATGCGTTTAGCTTAAAAGTACAAAGGCTCAGATTGGATGTGCCAAGTGGCACCAGTCTGTTGGCGGAGCTCTTCATTACTGCATCAAACTTGGGTTCAGTTTCCAGTTCTGGCATCTTGCACCTCATTATTTTAGAGATTGTGAAATATTGCAGAAATAGTTGCAGGTTTGCTACTGCATTGACACAAAATGCTTTTCTTTGTCATTTCACACTTTTTCATCCCAGGTGGTTTAGGACCAGCATGCAGTCAAGAAGGCTTAGGCACAGAGGAAAAATTTTAGGAAGAATAATGAAAGAGATGTAATAGTAAATTGAGACAGCACCATGCTCAAATTTTAATGGGGATATAAAGGACCTTATACTAGGGAAACAAAGCTAAAGAGAATGATGACTGCAGAAAGTATTGGCTAACTTCCATTTACTGATTCTCCTTAATGCACAGGACATATTCTTCAAGTGCCAAATATTCCTACAGTTTCCTTTTCTCAGCTGTCATGAAAGTATAGATCCATATTCTTATATTTCAAGTTGTATGAATGATCTTTGCAGGTAAGTACTTGAATTCTTGTGTATTTAATCTTGACACATGAAATGAATGCTCAGTCTTTTGTGTGGGACCAGAATGAAAGAACATTGTGGGAAGTTGGGAAGAACCAAGTTCAAAATGAAAGAGATGGGGTTTCTCAGGGGGTGATTTGTGTGGGAACAAAGGGCACAGAACCAGCCTCACAAGGGATATTTTCATTGCTAAGGGCTTACATAGATTCAAGGAAACACTAGACAAGTAAGTGCAAGGTAAATTAATGGAGAATCACTCATGACAAAAATGAGTTCCTAATGACAAAAAACCCAAGAAACTTTTATCTGGAGGCCAAGAAACAGAACTATATGGAGATAATATTAGGAAGAAATATCGACAATACTGGAGGAGTTGGGCCATTTGTCAGACACAGCTGGACTGGTTTTTATGACTAACCACTATCATTCAAATCAGTAGAATTTTTACAAAATGGTGCCATTTACTTAAATTCAGAGCTGCCAAAAGAAATTGAACTCGTTTGCTTTGATGGGAGTCATACCCCCTCAGCTGCTGGCATAGTAGGCAACGTGGTATCCTAATTAATTCTAGTCATTCAAGTTAAAATTGTACTCTGGTAATTGAAGAGATAATTGGGAAATGTACCACTTTCTTTTTGGTAAGGTTTTCAAATGAAGAAGTAATTGTCAGAAATAGGAGGATTTTTTCCAGTGTATATAATTCTCAGAGTTTCACCAGTTTAATCAAAAGCACACAGAAAGGATCACAAGACAAAACATAAGGATCCCTCAGTATAATCCATTGCAACTTATTAGTTCAATTTTTGATGAATGTTTAGTTTTCTGATTTACCATAGAGTCAAGATAGAAGAATTTGTGTTTGTAGGAAAACACTGGTGTTGCTCAGAAAAGAGATGAGTTGCCTCTGTATGGTCTCTGTGTAACTCAGGAATTTACTGTGACTTTTGAAGAATAATGAAAGCCATTTTTTTTTTCAAGTAGGATATTGAATCACTGCTGTGGTGTTAAGGAGGGTTGGATTTTTTGTGAACAATCTGATACATGTTGCTGTGAATTTTGTGAATATTAAAAACCTTGAAGTTTCTATGTCTCAGAAATTCATTAATTTAGGCTTATTTTGTTTATAAAGAGACCTCTCTTCTTGTGGCTTAGTGTCAGTTTATGAAGGTTTTTTGTGTGGCCATAGTATAGTCCAAGCATTCTTTCTATTAAGACCCATTTAATTGGATTAGATGAGGAGAGTTGGAGAGACTCTGATCACTGCAACAAAGAGTGTAGTGGTGTTTGATTTGATACTAGATGTGTTGAAAGCAGAATACAAACACAATACAACATATTCTTAAGACGATTAATTTTGGAAGCATGATCTGGTGTGCTAAAGGACAAACTCAGCTGATCTGTCATAAACATGCTTATAATAGAAATGTCATGCTATGACTAGTTGATTTTGGCACCAGATCTTCCACAGTGATTGTTGTGAATTGTTCGACTTTCACAGTAACAAAAGTTTGGTGGTATTTCACCGTATGTGACTTACATCTGAATAAAATTTGAACTTGCCTACATATTAATGAATGTCTTTTTATTTGATTCTGGTAAAAATGCACTGTACAGCTTCTTCTGTATAGACTAAGGCAGAAATCTTGTCTTTGCCCAAGGCTGTGCTGCCCTGAGCCTGTCCACAGTATTTAGTGGATAATAATTCTGCCTCTGAGAACTTCAGCACAAGGTCAGGAGTCCATAATAGGGTTCTCCTCATCTAAGTTCAAGGCAATTGGAGACTTGAAGTTCTCACTTGAACCAGAATGCCCTTTTTAAGTGTAAGTCAGAGTTTCTATGTCATGCAGGATGGAGAAGCCTGAGATGGGGATCTTGAGACTGTTGAGTTGTCCATTGTCTTCAAAGGTCCTGCTTCTCTTTCACTTCTAGTAGCTCTTTTTAAAAATAATAGATTAGTGGTTTCATTCATTGTTGTAATATTAAAATGAAATAACTTTTAGTGAGATCAAATGATAAAACCACAATGTTAGTTCACTCCTTTTTATATTTTCCCTGTGTGCCTTTATGACTGAGTGGTGTCAGCTATGCGTGAAATATCCTGTACCATGTCACATGGCAGAAATTTTTAGATGGGATTTGTTTTCCTTGATTATTCTCTTATTTTATCATTTCAGAGTGGATGATGATGAAACATACTGCAGGGCAGTGACAGAGTACGCTAGAGCATGTTCTCACGCTGGGTCCCCAGTGCGGGACTGGAGGGATGACTTTCCTGCCTGTAGTAAGACTCTTCAATAAAGCATGAACCTTTGAGATATCCCATTTATTCCGTTCAAATATTCCATCTTGACAACATTTTTCCTTGTAGAACTCAAACCTGATACTCAAGCTGATCAGCCAGTTTCACTCTTGCTGGCAAACAACGAAGTCAATGACTTGCTCAAGGAATATTTTAATTCCATTGTGCTATGATTCAGATCCATACAAAATTCATGTTTCTGTGGATTTCTTGAAAAATCATGTGTGCTGATCATATTCTAGGACAAAGAGCAAACATCTGTGGAGATTTGCTGTTGCTCTTCGTCCCAGAAGACCTCTCAGCCTCTCTTGGCCCTATAACAGAATTAACGCAGTTAATCCAGCTCCTTCTTGTTATCACTACCACCCATCAATTGCAGCTCATCCTCATGCACAAGGCTTAGAACTAGATGAGATATGAAAACATTCACAGAATGTCACAGAAGCTATAACATATTTTGGAGAGATGATATAAGGATTTGCTAAAGAGAGACTTAAATATCGACAAGAGCTTCCCCATAGTTCATCAGTTAAAACTCCTCCAAAACACCCATTTTACTTGATCTGATTACCTATCTATACCAGAAGAGCTGCACAATGTTTATTTGACAGAAATGGAGTTTCTAGCATGGAAAGAGAAATTGCACTAATGTTCAGTATACCATGGGGTTTTTTTGTAGCTGAGAAGTGTGAAGACACCTTTGTTCACCGTGACTGTATCAGTTGTTGTCCACCAACTTGCACATTTGAAAAGGATTGTCTTGGCAGCAATCTGCACTGTTTAGATGGCTGTTACTGTCCAGATGGTAAATATTGTCAATGTTATTTCAAAAAATATGTGCAAAGCTACTATACAACACCATAATGATGTCTAAATAGACTGTGGTTAAAGTTAATGCCTGGAAATTATGAATATTGTAAATTCTGCTCTAGATGTTGTTATTGTCACTCTGATTCTTCCCTTTGTTGTGTGATAAACATTTATCTAGATTACAAAAGTGTCTCAGCATGCAATATCAATTAAAATCTGGAGATGTTACTAGTGCTTCCTACAATAGGATATTGCACAGATTTAGTCCGCTTTATTTGAATTATTCAAAAATGTATAGAAATTTTCCTTAAACAGAATGTGTCATGCTCTGTACAAGAAACCAAAGTTTCTGAGACCTGTATGGGACAAAAATTATTGACTGGACTATGAACCATCCTAGTTCTAGACAGACTAAAGATAGTGAGATTTCAGAACCTTTTCATTTTTGAGTCTGTACAGTTTTACATGCTTAAGGCAGACATTTTTCATAAAGCAGCAATACAGAGTGGCAACTTCTTATTAGGGAGCTGTGCTCTGAGCTCTCTGCACTCACTTGGCAAATGTTTTTGCTGGTCCTTGTTTAAGACTGATAACATCACCTCCGGGGAGATTGGAAAGTTTGAGTCAGATGGGGGAAGAGCAGTGATCTGGGGTTGGCTAATTTGTTTTATATCTCATTAATTAACTTCTTTCCCAACAGGTCTCATTATGGAAAATGGAACTTGTATCTCTTTGTCGAATTGTCCTTGTATTTATCATGGAACTGCTTTCCCTGTAGGCTCAAAAATTGAACAAGAATGTAGCAACTGGTATGTGAAAGCCTGTGTGTTTCATCTCCCAAGGACTACTGTCCATAGTTAGTTTAACACAGTCACACAAATTTTAAACAATAGTTACTGTTTATGTTTTACAGTCTGAGGCCTGCGTATCACTAAAATATACAGGCTATTCTGTGTGAATTCAAGGCATATTAATTAACTCAAAACTACTTATTTTGCTAAAAATCTGAACACTATTACTGTTGTGTGATTTTCCTTTCTAGTATTTGTGTTGGTGGCATTTGGAACTGCACTGATCATGATTGTCCAGGTATTTGTATTTCATTACTCTTTTCTCATTTCATGACAAAAATGATAAACTTTTCTGAAGACACCAGAACCATATATGATCTCAGGCTTTTGGCCGCCAGTTTAGGAAGAAAGATTAAGCAGGTGGATATTGACAGTAGCTGTGGGCCAGCTGGAATGAAGCTGTTATTTGCCTGATCATACTCATTCTGCCTTTTCCCACATGCTTCCCCTACCTCTGTGCTATCCTCCTCTTGTTTTCTATCTCTTGTTTATGCTCTGTGTTATTTGCCACAGATGGTGTATTTTTATTGCCTGTGCAGTACCTAGGCCAGGTATAAGGATCTCTTCACTTTCAGGTGCAACTTTATTGTAAGTAATAGGAAAAACATCATTCTGATGCTGTAGACTGCATTTTGTCTCTTGTAATAGCAGTTCATGTTTGAATAATCATCCTTATCTTTAAAGATATCGTGTCTCTGTAATGAGTTACACAGAGGAGCATGCAGCAGGCAGGTGGTGAAACTCCCTTGATAGTTCTGTACCTCAGACAAGGTTATATTATGAAGTTTGTGAAAGTTTTTTTTTTTACAAATTAGGGAGCCCTCTTTGAATGAGGTAATAAGACTTAACAGTTGCTAAGCAAGGCTTGACAGTGTGGATCTGTAATGTGAAACAATTGCCACTGAGAAGCACTGCCTATGTCTTGTGTGTGTTGTGTATGCTCATGAGGGGTTTATTACAATTACTTTGGCCTGGTCCTAGGGACAGAGCTGCTGTGAGTAAGGGGAGCAGGTTAGATGTGCTCCAACAGAGCACCTCCTGCAGCCAAAGTGGATCTAGTTTGTGTGCTCTGATGTTATCCCATGGTGTGAATGAAAGTGTGGTAAGTGGGGATGAACTGGAGATTTGCTTCAGCAGTGCATTCCTGATTTGAACTGGAAAAAAACCCCAAAATGTGTGCCCTGATGACACCTGCATCCCCTGCATACCTGTGGTAGTGAGTAGTTCCATAATACCTAGAAGGATGGAGAAGAGGTCCTCTTTCATACTGAGTCATTGGGAAAAAAAAGACAAAAGATTCTAGGATACTTCTGAATTGTAGTAAAGAGAAAAGTCTTTTGTATTTTAGTCACAGGCATCTCACCTAGTTAGAACCAAAAGGTGCTGCCCATGGATGTGCTCTTTATGAGAGGGCATCTGTTGGAAATAGATGTCTCTAGCGTAATTCGTTTCTAAATGTCGTTATTATTGGATGGATTAAAGTCAGCCTGGGTTTTATACTTAGAAATTGTGAGAAAGTTTCTTATTTTCTCCTCTCTTACATGATTTGCAGAATAATGATACATTCTTATGTAAGAGAACATTCTTTATACTTTTTCTCTCAAGCTGAGTGCTCCATCACAGGCAGCTCTCATTTCACGACATTTGATGGGCGCCATTTTACCTTTCTTGGGATTTGCCAGTATATTTTGGTAAAAGGCACTGGAAAAAACAAATTCACAATCACTTTACAAAAAGCACCTTGTGGACAGGTAAGATACATTTTTTTTAAATGTTGAAACAATCAGGTCCGTCCATATTTCAGGCAATCTTCTATAAATTCTACTGTAAACTACTTGGTAATGTTACATAGAAAATATAAACTGAAATCATCTTACAGCTTTTTTTTGGTTATTTTTTGTGTTGCTACGTGTAATACTGCCCTTTGTAAAAGCTATAGCAACTTTAGAGGGATCAAGTCTAAAGAGTTACTCATTTATGCATATCAAAGTTGTATAAACACCTTTAGTTATGGCACCAACAGATATCAGACTTTGGAAAAGCGGCTGTTGGCAGAACTGTAGGTTTAATACATCACTGTTTAGGCAAGAATTTTTTTTTTTGCTAGCTTTAGATTTTATTTGATATAACATATTTTATTTGTTGGAACAATGTCTTTTAGAAAACCATCTATGAGACTAGGCACTACACATACTTGTTTGAAAATATTTTGGCAGACATTCAACAACAGACTTTAGGAATAAAGGTGCTTATAAAGAGTACTTACCTTTGAGAGTGGATTTAATGGTGCTGTTAGACTCTCAGTAGAAGGGGCCTTGAGACTGTGACTCACAGCTGACCATGTGCTGAGGACAGGGATGTCTGGACACCTCAGCAGGGGGCAATGCCCTACTCTGGGACTGTCTCTCATGTCCTCCTTTCAAAAGCTTGATTATGATCTGGTGCCTCTCTACCTTTCTTGTAAGCACCTCCTTCTCCTGCACAGGTATTGTTTTTATTATTTTTCAGTGGCTACCCAACCAACCATTTCATGCTTGAGACATTTCAGGTGGCCTCAAGCATGAAAGGGTTGGTTAGGCATCCACTGAAAAATAAGGTTGCCACTGGTAATAACCTTTTGTAGAGCTCTAGGCACCTTGAAAAGTTTCTGGATGAAAACAGAGGGGACCCTGGGGAGCATAAGATGCTTGGTTTTGGCCAATTCAGCCTTGGCTTTTGTCCTGCGTTGAGGTTCATAAATTCTGCCTGCATTGCACACTAAAATGATGCATGTGACATGGTTTATAGGTCACAATTTTTCAATTGTCAGATATTTATAAATTATTGTAATGTAATACTGGAGAATTTATGTCCTTTTTATCTGCAATCAGAGATCATCACTACATTTTATGTGTGCCAAAGTTTCTTTCTCCTGTGCTGCTGCATTTGTGCTCTGGTTGCAGCAGCTTGATTTAGATTGAGTCAGACCCTGGCTCTACCAGTGGTTAACCCATCAATGAGCAGTACCCAAAGTGGCTGTGCAAGTATGGAATTTTCAACCCAGTATCAGTACCTGGGGACCTCTGTCGACTTTCTATAATACTGCCATAATACCTAAAATGCATTCTCCTAGCATATGAAGATTACGCATAAGCAATGTTATATGATGTTGTACATACAATTTTGAGTGCCTTGTTTAATGTTTTGAGTGATAGTTTACATCTGATTTACCTGATGACAGTTCTGATCTTTCCTTTCTATATGCTTTTTTCCCCCCTGTTTGTTTGCTTCTGTTTTCCATGGTAATATTAATGTCATTGTCTGTTTCTGATGGTGAAACTTGTTTCTCCTTAGAACTTTGACCATGCCTGCATTGAGTCTATAACACTGGTTCTTGAAGATGACGTGAGGAAACAAGTAACTCTCACAAGATTTGGTCAAATCCAAGCTGTCCCTAACCAAGTTTTTAACCTCAATGGTAAGAAGTGCATGAAGAAGAATATTACCAGAGTTCACATTCTGTCTCTTAAATGCTCCAAAACTTTTTAATAATATCAGTCTTTGAAAAAGGAACTTCTTTAAACATAACTTATTAAAGCATACAATCACTTACTTCTTAGAACATTAGTAATAATTATAGAAATTTACTTTTATCATCTGTAAAACAATTATTCATTATGCCCTCATTTCTTTGCATTTCTTATCTTATAGAGTACTTAGAAATTCCACTTATTTTGTTTGTGTTTAGGGGGAGAGAGGTAAGAAAAAGAAAGGAAGTGAAGAGATCTTGATGCTAAGGTCTAGCTTGTTTAAAGCTTTTTAGACTAAATAGAATGGAAAAGGATCCATGTGCTCCATGGGATTTATACTGATTTCACTGCTGACTTATGTTGTGATTTCAGACAGGTTACTTCATCGTTTTGGAAAGGATAGTAAAATAAACCAGCCTTAAAAGCATGTTATAAAATTAAGCACTGAAGGTAGAAATGATACTGCTAAATTTTGAAATTTACAGTGACCAGTTAGTGGAATTTTAGTCTCTCAAGAGTTAAGTGAGAGTAAAGTTCTTACCCAGCCTTCTGCAAAACAGATTTTAGGGAGTCCTGTGCTGGTGATTGCAGTTATGTCTTTTCTTCATTGAATTTGTGCAGTCACAGTACTGCTTTTGGCATTCACAGTTTTCTATGGCAATGAGCTTCATAGCTCAGTTATGCTCTATGTTGACAGTTCTGCTTCATAATTTGATTGGTAACTTCATTTTATTCCTTTTGAATTAGTCCCTACTCACTTTCTTGTCTCTTTCCACAGTCTGCAACAAATATAATTTATGAAAAGTATTTTGGTGTCACATTCTTGATAATTGTGTGTATCTAGTAAGGACATCCTTAAGGATTTTGTTTTCCTCTCTTCAATCTGTGTGTGTGTGTGTGCATGTGTAGAGGCTGCTTATGAAGGTAGATCTACTTGAGGCCTTCAACTGCAAGTAGCCCAACAATGTGTAGCAAATGAATGTTGTGACTGTGAAATTTCCATTTCCTCACATAACGGATTTGCCGGAAAGGAAAGCTGGGAATTTGATAGGGGCTCAGTTCACATACAGTCCAAGGAAGGAGCTATACTGATGTCGTGTCAATAGTGGTAAAAGAGAATCTGCTATCTAAAGATTCAATATACTTTACAGAAATCTGTTACTTACTATTGTAATATCACTGGAGACTAAGAAAAAAGGGGTTTCTTGTCTTGCCTTCTCATTGCCAGGGGCTTGCAGTTGCTTGGATTTCTTCTGAAATAGAAAAAATCCAAACAAAGAGAGGTGCAAGCATGGTTTCTAGATAACTCACAGGTGCAGAAAGCTGTGACATTTTTAAAATGTCAACAGTAGGTGGAATTCCTGATTTGTGTTGTTACCGGAAATAAGCTCAGATAGAGAATGGGAGAGGATATTTGGCCAATGGTGAGGTTGTGCATAGTTTTTCATTTTATGTCTGAATTTTCAAAATTTTTTTTGCTTAATGGGTAAACCAGTACAACCTGGAAGCTGGGTTTCAGTGTCTTTGTTTTTCTTCTTCTTTTGCTATGTTCAGGGGCTATTGAAATTCAGAATATATCTTCTTTCTTTGTTCAACTGAAAACTAGTTTTGGTTTGAAGATACTGTTTTCTAAAGATGGAGAGAGGATCTATGTTCAAGTTGATGTCAGATGGAAGAGAAGAACATTAGGACTATGTGGAACTTACAATGGAAATTTAAGAGATGATTTTCTGTAAGTTTCATGTTGTGCATTTATATTGTGTTTAATAACAAGTGAAAAGTTTTGTTGAACATAATCATCTGATAATTTAATTTCATTAACATGCTCAAACTTTATTAAACTAACCAATATAAAATGTCCTAATTAAAATGGTAGTCACTTTTATAAATATGATAGTAAAAAGCTTATGCATTTTAAGGTGTTTTTTTAAGTAATTATAGAAAGCTACCATATTATTTGTAGAAGTTTCTGGATGATGATATTATTTGAATGCACTTTTCCCTTTCTTGTTGCTCCCTTATCTTCAGAGCAAATATATGAGCACTGAGAAAAAGAGTAGGTGATAATACTTGTATTAAATATTAATACTTGTATTAAAACACTTACTACTGTTTGATTTTCCTCCCCACGCCAAGTTTTAATGTAAAAAATGTAATTCTGCACCACAGGAATATTTTAATTAGAAGGGCATAATTTGCTTACTTTTTAACTTTATTTCCTCCAAATTTCCTCAAGCTATAATGTCACAAAACTTGTCTGCACAGCAGACTTAGAATGTAGGGACATTTTCACAGGAATAAAATATTGAGGAAAAAGTTTCAAATGCCCTCTCTTCTTTTATACCTCAGAGATGGAAATTCTTTTGGCACACTGACTATTCAATGTGACTGTACACCTAAGCCTCTTAATTGACCTTGCATCCCCACCCATGTACACCCTAAGGTCAGCAGGATGCTTGCAGTGTTGATGTTTTCCTTTTCAGATCTCCTGCAGGGATGATAGAAGGGACCCCACAACTTCATGCCAATGCATGGAAGGTTTCCTCAGCTTGCTCCATGCCTATCAATATTCCTGTTGTTGATCCCTGCAATGTGAATCAGCAAAATGGTACATTTTCACAGGGGAGTCTGGACTTAGCTGTATCTTATTATTATGGGACAGTTTTTCTTTTCTCTGTGAAAAAATTGCACATACATGTATTTCAGCTTCAGGTTTAGATGTGCACTTTTTTTTTTTTTTTTTGGCATTGGCAAAGATCATTTTCCCATACATTTTGTAAGTAAAATGAAGTTAGTACTTGATAAATAAAAGCTAGTTGGTAATTTAGTGCTGGGTGTACTGACTATGAGCACTAAATTCTGCTGATTAGTATACATGCAGCTTTTTAGCTATTTATGATCCTGTAAATTATGCCAGTTGACAGGAAAGATTGATGCATGATTGTTAAAGAAAATACAGGAGACAGTGCTGAGATCAAAAGTCCTGTCTCTGGCTTCTGCATGATTATTGCACTAAAAATTTCTTTATCCTCCATCTATGTTCTCTGACAAAAACTGTGGCAGGCAATCTGAGAGCCTTGAATTTGTTCAAATTCCTGGGCAAGGATTTAGTTTTGGCTGGTTGGCATGCCTATGGTTTTTGTTGAACTTTCACTGTCTCCTTTTTGCATTGCTGTTCTTTTCAATTAATGAAGACAATGGGTAGACTGTAGTTGCCAATTCTGACAGAATGTAGTCTAATATTTTTAACATTTCAGACATCAGATCTCACTAGGGATGTGGGATTTATCCATATTTAAAGCCTGTAGAAGCAAGGCTAGAATAACAGTAAATCTCTAACAATGTGGGGAATCCTAGGAGTTTTTATACACTCCTTGCTGTCTGTCTTCTCAAGACAGCCAGACCTCTCAGCCAGATCAGCTCAGAGCCTTCATGCCTCACCCTCAGTTCTGTGCTAGCTCAGTGAAGGTGGAGCTTGACATAAATGTGTGCTGCTTAGAGCAGGAGAGTGGACTGCATGACTTTCTGAGGGTCCTTTCCAGCCTGAATTTCACCATGATCCTCTAAGAATCACTGTGAAAAAGCAGCAGAGAGTGAAGTGATCCACACCATGCCACAAGCACAGGCATCTTTTTCAGGTCTAAGATGATAGTGACCTGATCAACAAAGGAAAAAAAAAAAGATTGTTTGGTTACTTGTTTTGTCAGGTTAATTTTCAACTGAGTTAAGTTGTTAAGTTCAGTCCTTGAATCTAGTTTACTGAGAGAGTCCAAAAAATGTGAAATTCTTCTGTCAATGTGTGTCTGTGGAAATGAACATGGAGTTTGAAGGAGAGGTGCATTCTTTTAGCAGCAAAAGTGGCTTAAATATAATCCACATCACAGAGTTCCTTAGCTATTCCACCACTTGTGGTGGCAGTCTGCTTCAGTGGCTGGAGGGCAGGAGGAGGGTTTGTTGCTGCTAGAAGGTGTATGGCCAGGTTGGGATTTGCATGCCCTCAAGCTCTGCTTTGTAATGATTCCTGAGACCACATGCCAGGAAGTACATGGCCATTGTTGATGTTAAAGCTAAATGAATGTCAAGTAGGAAAACCATACTCCAGGCTTTGGGGGACTCTAACTATTCTTTTGAAGTATATTATTTTGCCATTTAAATTTCCTGTGTTGTAAGAGGAAGGCATAACTTAGTATTGAGTTTTAGTACAGTTATTTTTATCTTAAGCAGAGTTCTCTATTGAGGGAGTTGCTTGTAATATCAATTTTAAACTGTAGAATTGTATGCAAGTGTTTATATTGCACAGCTGGCTATGTTTGATTTTAATATTTGGTGCTATTGATTTGACTAACTGTCATATTAAAATGGACCTGGCTAAAACAATGTCACCTTCTCTTAGCTGGGTATGCATCTCACTGTGATATCATCAACCAAGAGGTGTTTGCTCCCTGCCATGCCTACATCAGTCCAGGGCTGTACTACCAGCTCTGCCGCTTCGACGCGTGCAAATGTGGAAGCAGCTGCCTGTGCAACGCTTTGGCACACTATGCTTATGTCTGTGGCAAGCACGGCGTCGTCATTGACTTCAGATCTCATGTTTCTTACTGTGGTGAGTAACATTTCCATAATGGAATATCTTTTAGAAATGTGTAAAACTCTACAAATTTCAATCACTCCACAAAATATAAGGGTTGGCTTCTTTTTCTTGGAAACTAGAGTTGTGCCGTGGTGTAATGATGTACAAGGGGAGAATGGTAACAGCCTCTACATTAAGTATCTGAGTCGGTGCTCCTGAGCTGCCTCATAGGAATGTCTGCCCTTTCTATTGCTCACAGAGAGAAATGGAATTCTTTCTTTGAAGCCCTAAGTCATATGGAAGCCCCTATTAGGATAAAGGAGTCAGGGAGTGGCAGGAGTGGAGCCATTCCCTAAGGGGGGGTTGACAGGGTCTCCCTAGACTGGACAGGACAGGGTGTGTGATACAGTAATGATTTAAAACAAAGCATTTCACAGAATCTCAGAGTATCGTGAATTGTAAGGGACTCACAAGGGTTATTGAAATCCAACTGCTGTATTTCTGTTTCCAACCATATAACAATGCCTCAGCCTTAGCTAGACCTCTTGGAAGGCTGAATTACTAGATAGATGCCAAATCTGACATACAGAAAGGACAGAAAGCTACAGTTTACAAAACAGATGATTCCAGTCAAAAATTATTTTAACAAAAACCCACCTTCATCTTAATATATCTAACTTCAGAAATTGGTAACATGGCATATTTTTCTCATGCTTTTCAACTAAACCCAGTGCCACAAGAGACCACTTTGCTTTGATTTTCTTGAACTTCCATGATACAATACTTTGTTTTCCGTTTTTCACATTTTAACAGTATGCTGTTCTCCCTTCATTCCCCCTCTCTTTCCTCCAGCTGTGATGTGTCACAGTGGTATGCTTTATCATCAGTGCTCTTCTTTTTGTAAACATTCCTGTGCTTCACTTTCCATGGCAAATATCTGTGCTGATGACTGTGCAGAAGGATGTAATTGTCCTGATGGGAAGTATTTTGAAGAGTCAGTCAACTTTTGTGTATCAATGTAAGTAATAAAAAAGTAGAATATATGTATGGACACAATTTCCTCTTTCCAGCAAGATTTAAAGTAGCTTTTCTGCTGTTTCCCTCAAGATGCAGATTGCCTAGAGAAGATAACAATTGTGTAACAAACAATATGTAAAGATTTAATATTCTGTTTTACCAGTCAATACTCCTCTGTTACTGTGTGTACATGTATCTGCTTCACTTTAGAGCAGATTTGTCAAACTGCTTTAGAGAAGGGTAGTGAAACTTTTTAATTCATGGGATAGCATTTTCATATGAAAACCTTGGTTTTAGCATTTGAAAAAAAGTGAGAAAGAATCTATAAAGCAACAATCTATAACGAAAGGGATGGTAGGGGAAGAGTGGCTAGAAGTGTCTTTTTTCTGTGTCACAATGCAAAGCTCTTCAGTTAAATGGGAGGAAATAGTCACTGAGAGGAAAAAGTTTTTGTATATTGCATACCCAAAATTTTAAAGCCTACCACCGTGGGCAGTTACAGAATTATTTCCATTCATTGCAACATATGTTTTGGGAAGATCAGTGAAGTTCATAATGTAGGGATAAAAACTGTTTTAAACTATTAAAGAGTGTGAATTGTCTTCTTATTCACACATTTTTTCATTGTTTCTAGATTATTTTATTGCTACTTCTAACCTGTCTGGCTCTTATCACGCAGTTAATGGATTTTGCTATGATAATTTTTCTACCTCATGGTATTAAGAATACTTTGAATGGGAAATGCATGTTTTCATTCTGCTCCCATACTGAAAAGGAAAAGTCCTTTCTATTAGAATATTGCACAGAAACAGCCAAAAAAGAGTACAGAGACAGAGGAAAATCCTGGCTTCGCTGAAGATGATATGAGTTTTGCCACTGACTTCAATACAGTCTGAGTATCATCTTTAAATTTTTGTCTTTCAAAGAGAATTGTACATATAAGGATTGAGCTAATGAATTAAGTTAATGTTATGATGTGACCTGCATATCATAACAGCTTGATAGAGGGCCCTTAAATCCCATTGCTTTTCTTGATTTTCTACCTAAATGCATGAATATTCTTTTAACAGATCTGGCTGTCATTGTCATTACAAAGGCAAAGCACTACAGCCTGGAGAAATCCTTCCTACGCCAACAGGCTCCTGGTAGGTTTGACTGCAAGAGTTTTATCTTTCTTGTATCACAGTTTGGACACATCTTAAAATGGTTTGAGAATTTTTATCATGTAGATTGAAAGTTTATTGTATCAAGATTTTTTTTTTTTTGCATACTTAGTAATAAGAGAGCCTAGTATAAATTGGATTATGTACCTGATTATTTTAACAAAATACCTGGAGCATTCTTTAATCTATGGTGGATAAGGTTTTGTGTTATACTGCCTGCATCCTAAATCACTTGGCCCTCCATTCTCAAAGGGTTTGACATACTCAGCTTTTTTTTTCTTTCAGTGGAAGTTAGGAAATTACATAGTACATAAACTATGAAGTTAGGCCCTCTTTACAGATCAGGAATTAGAAACTACCAAGACAATATTGAGCAGAACTCAAGCTTTTGGATTTTAATCCTCTTTCTCCTCCTAATTTCTGTTGTTTAAATAAGGTTGAATTGTATAATATTTTTTAACATGGTGACTACAAAGCATTTTCCTTGAATAAACATGGGTTTCCTTTTTTTTTTCTAGCCAATGTTTGAATGGAACAGTGACATGTATTGAAGCCACTACAGAAAACATAGGTAATTTGCAGTCTTATTCCATATAAAAGTTGCACAAATATAGAATTTGATATTGAATATTGATTTGGTTTTCTCCTCATATGTGTTTAAATGATGAGATGCTTTATATTACATAATATTTAAAATAGGAGGTTAGGAGCACAAATAGTCTTGGGGGGCTTTCCCTCTTTTTCTATAGCAAATTCTGCTACTCAGTCACTTGGAAAATTAAAAGAAATAAATAATTGCATGTGCCATCTAGGTCAATGTGTTCTCATGGGAATACCTATAATTAGGCTCACTGTCCATGTTTAGGAAGATTTAAGACCTTGATTTCTAACAAGTAAATTTTTAATGCTTTTCTAATGTATTTAGAAATACTTTGAAAATTGTTGCACTTCTAAGGGTTTTTTCTGCCTAAGGTGTAATGATTCTGTCATTAAGAATGGACTATGTGTGAGATCCTGGACACATATATCCAGATGCTTAATATTATTGGTTTTTTAACATTAGTACCCCTATAAATTTTATGTGTCTGTAATATAGATTATGCCATCGACTGTTATTCCAATTGCATTCTTATATGAACTGTAATGTAACGTCCCTTTGTATCCCAATAAATAAATTGTGAACAAAAACAAATAGAAAACCTTCAGTGTAAAAGAGCAGTTGATCTTATTTAACCTTCATTTTGCATTTGAAGTTCACATATGCCCTGAAGGAAAAATCTACTATGACTGCAGATCTCCTGTGCCTGGGTTACCAGCAGCGGGTGTGAACTGTGGGATCTCTTGTGCGAACCTTGCCATGAACTTCTCCTGTGTCCCCTCACCACCCTGTGCAAGTGGCTGCATTTGCCCCCCTGGGTAAGCTTTGATGGACCAACCTGAAGCACAAGCCAAATGCATATTTTCCACAATTCAACTCTGCACATTTTTTTTGCTTGTTAAATTCCAGTGGTATCACACTTCTAATTTTGAAACAATTGTTCTATAAATTGTCACAGACGCACAGTAACAGCTAAAAGGCCATCAGATATCCAGCTTGCTACTATTCCAATTGGCTGGTATTTGGAACTCTCTGGACAGGAGATGACTTCCACCATTTGCACAGTTAGTTTATTTGAATGTAAAAGCAAACGTGACAAAATATTTTGATGGAAACCATTTGTGCTTCTGTTTATTGCTGCCTAAGTCTTTGTCTCACCTAAATTTCTACTCAGGCTTACATTGCCGATGCCCAGCAAGGGGCAGGGAGGACAGGTGTATGAACTAGTTTCTGCCCAATTTCCCTTCATTCCCTCTGTCCTTTTCTTGTTTTCTCAGCTTGTGTGTTTGGATTTGGTGCCCAGAAAGAGTCAGCTGAACTTGGCAGGGGTCAAATCCAAGTATTAAATCTGAAAACTTCTCTTTGTGTCAGGATCAATCACCACTTGTTCCATTCATTTCCATTTCCTCCTCCTGTGTTCATTTTCAGATTGAGGAGTCAAATATACTGTGCAAATTGCTGTAATTGCGTCTCATCTTAGGTGGAGTGCTCCCTTTTTTCTCTCTCAACTTTCCATTTTGTTTCACTGTGTGTATAGCCAGGTGGTCTCCTGAGAGTGTATCCGTTGTGCACAGATCAGAGTATAAAAGAGACTGTCATGATTCCCCTTCCTGCACCTTGTGATGTTCACAGATGACTAAGCACTGGTAAAGGTCGAGATTTCAGGCAGAGCTATTTAAGATTTCACTAGCTCTTACACGGTGTTCTGTAGTCCTCTAAAACCTCTGCCTCAACTGAGAACTTAGCTTCCAGGACCATTAGTGTTATGGGAATAAACAATTATTTTAGCACAAAAAGTGTATGAATCTGTAAAAGTAGAAAACTAGTAACAAACTGAAGCATCACTGTGATATTTACACGAAATTAAACTACCAGTATTGACTTGAAAGTTCATTTGAAAATTTGAAGAAACTGAAGTAGAAGTTTAAAAAACAGCTAAAGCCTTGTTTTCACAGTCATACCATTTCAAATTGAGTATTACTTGATTATTTTCTGAGATATAACAGAAGTACAGACAAGCAAAATCCTGATTTTCTATCAAATAATAGAGTAAAACACATGAATTATTTTTATTACATAAGAGAATAAGCAGTCTTTTTGCTATGAGGTTGAAAAATAAGTGTACAACACAGTGCATTTAGTAATGTCCTCATTGTTAAATTGCACTTAATTAATGACTTTCAGCCTCATGGGTCCAAAAAGTGAGTATGGCTTTTAACTTGGAAGGGGACAGCTGTATTATCTTAAAAGCTATTTTCAAAAGGTCTCTTTTTTATATAGGAAAATGTTGAACATATATCTCCTGCTATTAAATCTAAGTGGGCAAGTCATTAAAAACATGATGTGAGACATTGTACTGTAGTGCAGTTTTTAAAATGCTCTTAAGTGGCGTTTCTTCTCCTTGGTTCTCCTTTCCCACCTTATTTCTACTACTACCCATTGTTTGGCTGAATGACCTAAGCTTTTGGGGTGGAATCCTGAATTCCCCTGGAGACTGGCACCTTATTCTAGCACTCTAGGTATTTACGGTGCTTGTAAAGTAAAGTGCTTGTGTGTGGTATTGAAACCCTTTCCTTTGGGAAACCATGAGATGATGGGCTCTAGTATGCAAAAGAATGGTCTCCCTAAAGTAAAAATGGTTTACATTTTCTATTGTTAAAGCTCTTGCACAACAGTTTGTTGTTATTTTAGTTAGTAGTTGAAGAGGTGACAAAGAATTAGAAACACTGGAAGTCTCTGATATACTTTAGAAGTTGAATAATATAACAGCCCAAATTTTCATGAGGAAATGAGGTGAGGATGACAGTAAATTTAAAGATAGCAAAGATAGACTGAAAGTCAGCCTCACACTGAGTTGGAGATATGGGGCTAAACTGAGTTGCAGATGCAAAGAGTAGTGTGGAAAGGAATTTCTGGGGCTACATTAATCTCCTGCCTTTGGGCAGCACCAGCAATACCGATGTCTTGGGAGACATTTAGCTTCTATTGACAGAGACTAAGTACCTTCCCAAGCCATCTCTTCTGGTATTTTCCTACCCTTGAGAAATTTTCTGAACACTTGACTCTTTTACTTAGAGCTGATTACTGTTTAATGAACTAGTAATGGTGTGAAGAAAACAAAACTGTGTATTCCTTTCAACTTCCAGTGAAACAATCTCTAGGCTGTACTTTGAGCCATGTGTTGCATGACAACTCCAGGAATTGCTCTCCTAAAGAACAGCACTAGGAATGTCAGTAATGTTTTCGTTAAGAAAGTTAAAATTGCTAAATAGGTGGAATTGAGATAGCAAATGTGTCATAACCATATATCTGGGTGGCTTATTGATCTAATTAGATTTGACACTTTTTGCATTAAATGCCTGTTTTGTCTCAACCTAGGTTAGTTGTTTCAGGTTCCCTTGTGTAGGCAGGCAGCCTCCACCACTGCTCTTCACAAACTGTGTAGCAGGTGCCACAGGCCAGCTCCCTGTTGTGCCCTCAGAACAGGACAGGTGCTGTCTGTGCAGAGGAGCAAGCACTCCAGTCCAGTTGCTTCCTGGCACAGCAGGACAAGAGAGCAGCAGAGAGGGAAGGGCAGTCTGGCTGCAGCCTCAGCAGCTCACATGATACCCAGATGCTCCGGAGTTTTCAGAGAGGAATATCTGTACTACTGACACTCCTGCATGGGAGCTGCAGCCCACACCAACATACCCCTTTCTAGATAGAGAGAGAGCTGCAGCTGTGGGCTTGGCCAGGTCCCCAGCTGTGCACAGTGGAGATCATTTGATTTGGACAGCTTTTGCTGATGAAACAATTTTCCTTAGCTGGGTGGAAGACTGGTTGCTCTTGATGGGGTTTCAACAATACACTACACATTCAGTTACATTGGTCTTTTGGATTTACTCTTTCATCTTAATAACTTTTTTTTTTTTTTGAAGGATGGCTGAGCACAGAGGGAAATGTTATATTCCTGACAGTTGTCCATGCACCTGGAAAGACAGAGAATTTCTGTCAGGAGAAGTGATAGCTACTCCATGTTACACCTGGTGAGTTCATTCTGCATACTTTCAAATCAAATGGATCAATACCCAAAGTGAAGCTGATACAGAAAATGCATTGTGTACTTTGAAAATCTAAAATATCTATTCTTGTTTATAGATAGTTAGAGGATATATCTTTTATTAGGCTTACTGATAGGCTTGGATAAGTAGGAAGACTTTGGTTGAGTGTCTTTTCAGACCTGAAAAGGAAGCTGAAGATATCCAAATTAAAAAGCAGTCAAGAACAAATGCTTAATTCCACACATATTTGTTAGTCTCTGAAATGAAGATGTGGCATTTTGCAGAATAGAATATAATGAAAGACAACCAAGGAGAAGAAGAGAGATATGCTTATTTCCTAGCCAAAATATCTATAATTAGTTAAGTGTATATTTAATAATGGGAAAAAAATTTGCATGGCAACTTTTAATCAGTTTAATACCACACTGGCAAATCAACTGAGGATTTACACTTACATAAGCAAAAATAGAGGATGCCAGTACTACTTCCATATAAATTTGTGTAAGCCACTAAATGTAACTGACAGGAAAAGTAATCTTGCAAAATATCAGCATTAATTTCTTAAACTCATTCCATATTTGTCTGATATCCTGAAATCTTACAGGTAGCACCTGGAGGTATTTTCCTTTGAAAATTTGCAGATCTTTATCAAAATTCAGAAAAAATAGACTACTGATGTCTTATGAATGAGCATGTTGAGGCATGGTGCCTTATCTATACTGGAGGCAGTGGTGGAAATATTTGCATAAGCCCTGCAAACTTTGATATTTTGCATTTATTTTTAATGCATTTTTATTGCACAGATGGGCTAATGGCAAAATGTTCAGTACTTGCCATGGCATCACCAGTATCTTCTGAAGCAATTCACAGTATAGCTCTCTGTTTCAAGGTCTGAGAATTTTATTCCATTCCTGAATTTCTGTATGATTTGAAATAAAGAACACAAGAAAGCATTTTCTTTAAAATATCCAGCAGAAGACTGCCATTATGGAGGACATACTGACTGTTGGTTTTCCTTTCAGTGTTTGTCGGAGAGGCGTCTTCAACTGCACCAGTTACCCCTGCCCTGCTGTGTGCACCATTTATGGAGACCGACACTATTACACCTTCGATGGGCTGGAGTATGATTATGTCAGTGACTGCCAAACTTACCTGCTAAAGGTAAGAGGATTGGTCATATGTTTTCTTGTGTCCTGGAGAAAACAAGTATTTTGAACATCAGGAGTTGATCTATAGAAACAAACATTAAGAAAACAATTGTAGAACGGATGTGAAAGAAGAACCTGTACAAGACATTTTGTGCTCATCTGTTTGAAAACGGTATGTGGGTGTGTTCTTGCATATCTCTATGGTTTAGAGAAAAGAAATAATCAATGTTTTCTGTTCTACCTTAACCATGCTTTTGTCACAATGACCAAAGAATAACACTATAGAAACTGTAAAAACTAGGTATAATCCATAGATTTATTTAATAATTATCTATAAGCCCTGCTTGGCCTAGGGTTAGTGATGAGCTCAGGCTGTTTGGAATTCTTCTTGAACGTGATCTGCAGCAGATCTGGACTGTATGTGTATAATAATATCAAACACAATGATTTCATAATTCAACAGTGAAATCATTCATTGAGATTGTCTGGCAGCTATATGCTTATGTTCCTCATAGCACACATTTAGAGTACATTGCTAGCTTTTTATTTAAAAATACCATTACTGACATTTAAAAATATGGTCTATTACTAAAACCACTATTGTTTATTATAATTGTTGCTATTTTAAGATTGTCTGTGTTCTCAGTTACAGTGATAAGTTTAGAAGAATACTCATTTTACTGACTGTCTAAGCTTAAGAATAAAGAATAATTTCTCAACAAAGACTACTGAAAATAGTTTATTTCAAGTATGTTTTAGTAGAGAATTCACAGCTGTGAAATAAAATACATTGGTTCCAGATTTTTTGTGTTTGTTTAAAAAGAAAAAAGAGAGATTTGAAAAAGAATAATACCTCACAGCAAATTCCTGTCATGTATCATATATGATCAAAGAGCTCTTACTCTTAGAGATATATGAACCTTTGTACAAGCCTTCCTCTTTTTGTACAAGCCTTCCTCCTTTAAGATGCAAAAAATAGGGGTTACCTTACCTATAAAATCATCTTGCCTTATGATGATGTGGAAAGGTAGGTCATAGTTTCTTAATTCTTGTGCCATTCATTCAAAGATGTTTGTAAGACAAATCTATGCTCCTTTTTCAAACTTTAGTATGATAGTGGAATGTTTAGCTTTTACAATCAAATATCACCTGTCCCTCTACTGTGTAAGAAAGAACCTGTCTGGAAAAAAACCATGGGGAGCATTTGGCATCCAAGAATAAAGTTGGCAGCCAGATCATTGAGGCACGTGGCACACTGCCAATGGGCCATTCTTCAGGTGAACCTGACACAAATGATGAAAATGCTGCCTACACAGATCTGCTTTTCAGATTTCTCAGACTTTTTTTCAGCTTTTCAATCTTCTTTTTTTTCCCAAGCTCAGCTAAGGTGAGAAAGTATAATCTAATTTGTCCACAATTTTTCTTTCTTTAGTATATGGAAAACTTTCATAACTTTTATGGAAGGATTCTTTAGAACATATTAGGCACTGCATCATCGTGCCTGGAACAGAAGATGTGTCTGTGGGCTGATTTTTGACTGGGAAATGTTTAGAGAATTTTTAAGGGGAAAAAAAAAAAGAAAAAGAAACAAAGGATGTGATTTTATGGCAGATGCTCCAGAATTTTGAGGGAACTAAAACACACAACTGATGAACTATGGGATATGCAACCTTGGAATCAGAGGAATGGAAGATGGCAGGATGACCAAATATTTTAAAAGGAATTAATGGCAGAATTTGACAGGAACAGAGCAATAGAGTAATATGTCTGATCTATATATGAAGGAACTTAATAGAAATTTTAATAAAGAGAAATTGCAATGGGGGAAGTGTTGAACTACCCTTTTTTTTTGTTTTAATAGAAAAAATTCATGCATGATGAGTCCTCTGAATTATTCTTTAAAGGTAATATATGGATAAGGGTAATCAAGTTAATATGTGTGTATTTTAGCTCAATCTTTTGGACAAAGATTTCAAGAAGTATTTTTTGAAACTACTCTTATATAAGATGAGAATGAACATTCTTTGAGACACAAATTCACAAAATCACAGAATGGGTCAGGTTGCAAGAGATCACAGAGGTTCATCTGGTCCAACCTCTCTGCTCAGGCAGGGTCATCCTAGAGCATGTGGCACAGGATTGTGTTCAGACAGTTGTTCATTATCTCCACACCCTCTCTGGGCAATCTGCTCCAGTGCTCAGTCACATGCACAGTAAAGAAGTTCTTCCTTATATTAAGCAGAATTTGCTGTGCATCTCTCTCTGCCCATTGCCTCTTGTCCTGTTCCTTGGCTGAGAAGAGCCTGGTTCCATCCCTTGCCACTCTCACTTAGACTTTTATAAGGTTTGATGACAGACCCTTCTCAGTCGTCTCTTCTGGAGGCTGAACAGGCCCAGCCTCCTCAGCCTTTCCTTGTAAGAGATATGCTCTCGTCCCTTCATCATCTTTCTTACCTTCTGCTGAACTAATTACAAGTCAGAGGTTAAAACACAAGAATAATTGGCCTTTTTTAAAAAAAAATTTTTAAAGGGAGAAATCCTGGTGAAATCCCACAGGGATCCATGCTGAGACCTGCACTCAGCAGCAGAAATAATTTTGAAAAGATGATGTGAGGATTGAGGTAGAGTAGTCTGATGATAAAAATTCAGTCTGAACAGCTGAAACAAAAGCTTCAGGAGATCTTATGGCAGAAAACACTACATAATAAAATAAAAAAGGAAATTCAACAACAAGCAAATGCAAACCAATAAACAGAAAAAACCCCTGTAACTACATTACCATGAAGTTAGGCACTAAATTAGCTACCATTATGCAGGAATGGAATTTTATGTGAGTAAAAGAAATGAAACACATGTAATGGACATCTTCATAGTGGCAACCTGAGCGATAATCACCTTTGCTTTTATTTGTAGATACACAGTTACACTACAATTGTACCACATCCTGAACTGGTTTAGCTGCATTATATATACAGACATGATAGCATGATGAGGTTGCTCTTGTTTGAAGTACTCTTTTTTATTCCTAGAGCAGGAGTTTCCATGTCTCTCTCTCTGTATAATCCTCTTCCTATATATTGTGACATTTTAAATAGTAGTATCCAAGTAATATGAGTCTACCTTGAGCTACTATGCGTTGAGAAGGTATGTAAGAGAGCCTTGTCTCTTTTAGCCTGTTAACCAAACAAAGAAGCCAAATGAAAGGTGGAAAAGTATATATACAACTGCAAAATTTAAATTCCTTGCCTAATATTTTGGCAGGCACAGCTATCTAAGGCAGTAGCATCTAAACTGTTCTGCCTGTTCTACAAACCAATTTTTTTTTTTTTTTTTAGCACAATCTCAGAATGATTTGGGTTGGAAAGGGAGTTTAAAGGTCTTCCAGTCCAAACCCCCTGCCATCAGAGTGTGTGCTGTGTGCTTCAAGTTTCCTGCCTGTAAGGTATCACAGATCATAGATTTCACAGCTGCTAATACACATCCCATTGATTTAATGCTAGTTTGGAGAGCTGTTGGGAGGCTGATTTTCATGGATAACATGAAATTCTCACCAGACTCCTGAAATTGAAGCAGCTAAAGTGGTTGTAGTATTATATACACAAAATTGTAATAAATTTGTCCTTTTCCTTTTATCTTTTATCCTTTATCCTGTAAGCAGTGGACTGCTTTGTTTCTACTAACAGAAGTAACATCTAAAGGTGCTGTAGCAGGGCAATAAGGAATGTTATAGCTACAATCAGTTTGTTGGCATATGAGCTCTTCCCAGATATAGAACTGAGTGCAAGAATAATAATCTGAATCCATCTTCCCCAGAGGCATGATAATGTGCTGTTCCCATCCATGTTACCAGCGCTCGCTGTTTTATTTGGCTGTTGGCCTTCCTAAATCTGATCTGTTTGAACAACTCTTTAATTTGTCATCATATCCCACTGTACCAGACAAAGAGCTCATCCTTACCTTTATTAGGTTTTTAATAAGGAGCCCTTGTGCTCCTGTGGGAGAAAAATCAAGTATAAGCTTTCAGCCAATTATGAAACTTGCTTGTTTTCAACATCATTGTCTCATGTCAGGCCTTTTTGTTTAAGGTGACTGTAAGTGTATGAAAAAACCCTTTATACATAGTTCAACAGATTTGTCCATTGGGCAGAAAATGACAGAAAATATTTAGATCAGCAGTTAAGAATATTAGGGCAGTAAGGTATCATGAAAAGATAAATTCACTTTTATAAAGGAATTAGGAGTTACATTATACACTGAGATGTAAAGTCCCTGTATAGATGAATGACATTCACACACAAGACATCAATATTTTTTTAAACATTTTAAAATCTCAGTTATTTCGAAGGTTAAAAAAAATCTTAGAAGACAAGCTTGTTTATCAGTGTTGGTCATGTAAACGCTTCATTTTGTTAATCTAAATATGAATTATAAAATTAAAGTCAAACAGTTTCTTACTTGAAAATATTTAAATATCTTTTTTCATCCATTTTCTTGCTTATTGTCTTATTTTACTGTCTTTCATGATGCTACATTCTTTCCTCCAAAAAATGGGGTTATTTTTCTGGCAAAATTTTTACTAGCTGCTATCTGTTTCTTCCATTTACCTGTTTCATAGGCTTCTGCTCTCATGATAAAATTAGTGTCTTTCTATATTCTCTGACAAATGTTGGCCTTTTTTATTTCTGTGGTGGTTTTCAGTCCTGCAGCTCAGTGTTTTTATTAAGGCTTGTAGGGTCAGTGCACTTGGAGCCCCTCAGACCTGTTCTCTTCTGTGAAACAGAAGAAAATGTTTTCTCAGAAAAAATATTAGCCCCAAAATTATTAGCATTTCTCAGAAAAAAATATTTTCTCTGCTCTGGGGCAGATTTCAAGCAGTAGTTCAAAGGGATAAGCTACCCATTAGAATGTGCTCAAATGAGAGGGCTCTCTGTTGCAATGGTCATCTGTCTTTTAAAAAACACCACAAAATCACCACTGAAATATATGCACTAAACTTTGGTTTCTACTAACCTT